AATTAAAAATAATTATTTCTTAGAACATAACTAATTTAAAAATTTAATTAAAAATAATTATTTCTTAAAATATAAACTAATTTAAAAATTTAATAAAAATTAAAGTGGCATTATTAAACTCAATCATTTTGAAAATATGTCACTTAAATTTTCAAATCGATCCTTCCTTGGTGAACTATTCACGGGAAAAACAAGTCTTGAACTTAGTTACTATCTGAGTGTCTCACAGCATTATAACATGTGAGCCTCTCTATTGAATATTATATTATATTCAATCACATTGTATTATTGACAACTCTTATTTTTTTACAGGGCAAACCATCAAAATTGAAATCCAAGAATTGTTGTTGTAAATAATTACAAGTCAACGGAAAAAATATTTGTATGAAGGCATTGAATTGATAAAAGGCATTTTATATGTGAGAGAGAAATAATAAACAAATATCCAATAAGCAATCAAAGGTCTTAAATCAAATGAACTTGAAAGTCAAGTAAGGTAGATAAACAATAATTATTGATGGATATGAGCATCAATCATCAACATTTTTGTAGTGATTAATAATTAGAGTTAACAACAGCAACCTGCACCAACTTTTATTTTATTTTCAAGAAAGTTCAATTTTTCACTCAATTTCTTACATGTTTCGTCACATATATATTATATATAATATTTGAACTATTTTCGTACTTGTTTTAGATTAATCACTGCACGTAAATAAATTAATATGAAGAAGGACAATAATAATAAAAATATAAAAGTGAGACAATAAAATTATATATGTTTTTTTAATATTTATCGGTGGCTTAGGGGAGTGTCTATATTACTGTTACTGTTTAATTTTCAAGTATTTTGACAATATGTAATCCCATATTTAAGATTTTTAGCTAACAAAAAAATAGATAGAGAAAAATAGAAAAGGGTATGAGAGGTTGAATCTAACGTAGTTGATTAAACATTTTCTTATAATCTTAAAAAAATATATACAAGATTTTTTTAAACCTTTAAATAATTATCGTATCTTTAGTAAATATTACTTAAAACATGCAAAGATGTCCTAAAAAAACTACTCCATGAGAAAAAAAAATTTACTCAAATAAGAGAAAGATAAGGAAAGAGAGTATGAAATTCTTCGTTTATTGATCTAAACAAAAATACATATGGTAGAGGAGGGTAAGGAGAAGGGAGTAGAGGAGAGAGGGGTTTTCAGAATCTTGTCCAACATAAGAGACTTACATATTCTTAAGCGTTCAAGCCAATGAAATTGATGATATCATAAATGAATTTTTAGACAGTGCGTGTTTAGATAAAGAAGAGAGATGTTTAGATAATGTATCCTTAATATTAGAACCCTTATCAAAGATAGGGTTAATCAATACAAATATTATATCAAACAATTTTCAAACAGAACCTCATGATTATCAGTTAGAATCAGATGATATACAAAATTATTCTGTTGATTTCCTTCTTAGAAAATCTACACAAAAAGTTATTTTTAGGAATAATCAATATACAACACAAGACAAAATACTCCCACTAGAGCCAAATTTTCAAATATTTAATCTTCTTTTAAACATAGGAGGATTAGATCCTCAACTATTACCAACATATATTAAACAATGGACAACATCAGTAAAATATATTATATATATTTTTTAAATTATATAAAAAAATTGATGTTTTATTTTTTTCTTTAACTCATCCTATGTAATCGATTTTCTTGATCTTTTACTCTTTTTTTTTTAATTTTATCTTAATTTAATTAGAATTTAATTATTTAACAATAATATATCAATTTTTAAATTAATTTTCAATTAAACTTGAATAGACTAGTCAAATAAATTTAAAAAGAAAATAGTAATAATAATGATGATATTAAAATGAATTAAATTTTTTGGACCGTTCACCCCATGTTTAACCCACAAAAATGGGACGAATTGGTGGGGACAAAGTTTGCATCTTGCATACCTTGGCTCACCTTGCATAAATTTGGGTCTACGAGTTAGCTCGTATAATAATAATAATAATAATTAAAAAAAGCTTTGGTATTATACAATAGATATATTCATGTTTTATTTTTATTTTTAGTTCATAAAATTAAAAATCAAATATAATAATAGACTCTGTCAAAAATAAATAAATTAATTGTTGTAAATTTTAATTAGATATTTTACTTTTTTTTCTTTTTTTAATTGATAAATTTATTCATTAATTATATGTCTTTCATATTTGTTTTGAATAAAGTGTGATATTCAACCTAGAATCTTCTTTAATGATAATTGAGTTTAAATAAAGTTAAGAAAATAACTAAACCAAAATTTGATCACTGATCTAAAATTGTTAACTAATTGTGTATTTAATAAACTTAATATAATATTTCCATTAATTTTTCATTTTATTGCTTTTTTTTCTCTTATTAATATATAGTAAAAAATCACCCAAATTCTCTCTTTGTTTTCAAATTATCAATGTAGTTCTCTTTAATTCTTTTATTTTCTTTGAACGCTACGAGAATAAGTGTCTTAAAAATTCACATTTTTTTCTAAATATATTTATTTTTATTAATTTAAATTGGCATGTGATGAAAAATATTTAGACACATTTACATTTGTTACAATTTTCTTTAACAAGACTGCATATTTATTTACTATGTATAATGTTACTAATTTACTTTTAAAAGATTATAATAATAGTTTTGTCTATTTAAGACTCTACCTACTCTAGCACGGAACTAAAATTCATGAATAAATATATGATATAAAAAAAGAATATTTTAACAAAAATAACAACGAAGATCTTGCATTTAACTAAGTATTTTTTTTATATTGATTGCTGCATGTATATTAAATAAATTTAGTTTTCAAAATATTTTTTAACCAATTTCAGAGTATAAAATTATGTTTTACTTTTCTTATTTGAATCAAAAATAAAAAACTCTCAATGAAGATAAGTTGAAAAATGTTGTATTAGTTAAAAGAAACAACAATTTCTGACGAGTATTATAACATTGAAGATCTTGATTTATTTTTAAAAATAAAAATATTATAATTACAAAACACACATTCCTGATATTTATTAAATTATATTAAAAGATTAAACATTGTAAAATGCTTGTATTTGTTGTCAAATATTATTCACAGCTACTATTACTATTATTATTATTATTATTATTATTATTATTATCATTAATTTTTTTTAATTTATTTACCCAACTACACATATTTACTGTTCTTACACAAAATTCAATCAGAAAAAATAAATTTGTTTGACATAATATAAATGTTTTTCTCTCTTTTTCTCATTTATTTTCTTATTTTTCTTTCTCTTCATCTATTTCTTTTTCTCTCTCTTTCTTAGTCTATCTTATTTTTCAATTAAAAACAGTGAATTCAAATTTGATAATATAAGTATTTTATTATTATTGAAAAATAAAAAATATTTAAATAATAAAAAATACTATAATTTAATATATTATATTTGAAAAAATATTATATGATAAATTAGAGATTTTTTTATGTTATAATTATTAAAAAAATATTTATTTTAAAATATTTTTTTAATAAATATTTTTAAAAATTATATATTCTGATTAATTATCATAACTAAAAATTATTATAACTAGATGTAATTATTAAATAAAAAATATATTTAATTTATAAATATTTGATATTTTTTTAGTTAGATGAATAATTATTTATTATGATACAATAATTTTAAATTAATTATTTATGTCATCATAAATAAAATTATTTGTTTGCATCATAATTTTAAATAATTAGTTAATTTTTTTAAATTTCAATATTATTTTTAAAATGTTTCTTTTAATATATTTTTATTAAATTTTTAATATAATAGTTTAATTAGGAGAATAAATGGAAAAGAAGAAAAAAATAAGAGAAATAGGATAAAATAAAAAAGAAAAAAGAAAAAAATTATGAGGAGAGAAGAAAAATTACAGTTCTATTTACATAAATAAATTCATATAAATTCTATTTAAATAATTTTTCTTTTAAAATATATTATGCTTATAATTCATTTTAAAATTAATTATCCTTGAGGAAAAATTGAATGAGTTTAATTTGTCAAATATGTAAGGAAATTAAAATGATAAAAACATTTAATTATAAAGCTTTGATTAATAATTTTGTAATAAATTAAAAAGATGAGAATTAACCAGTTATATTAAATTAAATTTGGAATATAAATTTCGCTCTCAGAAATTCAAGGTGCTGTTCCATTGGGTCACAGTCACATAAATATCCGATGAGGGACAAAGCTATGAACATCGTAGGTGGCATTTTCAAAGCTAATAAAACAACCGCATTTTTTCTAACATTCAACAGTGTTAACTCAGAGTTAGGTCCCTGGTCATTTTCACACAGTCCTAGTAAAAAATCCCAAGATCTTCACAAACAGCATAAGAAAATCTTAATCTATTTCTTTAGTTTACTTAATTGCCATGATTACAAATAAAAAAACCTAGCATCATAAAAGGGTAGAGACTAGACACAGAAACCAAACTCGTAGAAGTTTTGGTTGGTGATGTTGAATTATGACATAGGGCTGTGCCTATATGACTGGCCAAGAAAGCTCCATGTGATGCTTTTGCATAGTACAAAAGACTTTTGATTAATCAATGAAATAAAATACGCCCCACACGCAGTTGGAAGAACCTTTCACACACACATATTATTAATGCATGAATCAATCAATTACTGTACAAATGTGTATTATATTGTCATATTCCATAGCTTTCACACATACACAGATGTGTATAGTATATTGTATAGGTACATTCTGATGATAGCTTTCACACCACACTCCTTAAAATTGGCTACAAATAAAGGGCACTTTCCACGTTTGCATGTATCCCAAAAGGGCTTTAAATAGGCCTTGAAAGTCCTCAACATTGCATATACAGTTAGCAGTTGCTGATATCTTGTTTCCAACCTCTCACTCTCTGGTGCCCTTTTGTGTGTTTGTGTCCTAATTGTTCCCAGCCATGATGTTGAGTTCTGTGATGGAGTTCATCACTCAAGCTGCTTCCAGCTCAGCATTCATTTTCTGCTTCTGCAATTTGATCATAGTCATTATTCTGGTGGACTTGAAGCCTAGCCTCAGCATTCATCGGGAAAGTGAAGTTCATCTTCTCAAGGGTGCAAATGATCAGAAACAAGGAGCAAATTCGAAGCCCCTAGTGGAAAAAGACACACCACCAATGCCACCGGCAGTGGAAGTGTCACATGATCATGAAGCAGAAACGGTTGAGAAGATTGAAATTGAAGGCAATAAAGATTGCAGCAATGAAGAAGATGAAAAAGTGGAAGAAGAAAAGGATGACAATAAAAGTGAAAACGATGAACTGAGGAAAAGAGTGGAAGAATTTATAGAGAAAGTTAACAAAGGGTGGAAGGAAGAATTGTTGAGCACATCAACCTTGGTATAGGACTCAAATAATGAGGAAAGTTAGGCCTTAAGATTGGTTTATTAAACTCAGGCTTCAAACTTTTGAGTCTTGTGTTGAATTTTGTTGTGTTGTATCATTCAAGAAAATAGCATAGAAATAGTTGTTTATATGTTCATACATAACCAACCCCTCTTGCTTGTGTTTTGGAGGCAAATTTTCCAGCATGTCAACCATAGTACCTTGGTTTGTTTAACCAGAAAATGAATAGAGTTTAGTGATTGAATGAGTTTTCTTGAAAGATAGAAGATAAGAAATTCCAATGTAGAACTTTATTCTAATTGCTCACGTCACATGGATAAGGGGAAAAAGTGATGTGCGTAAAGATCATGCTTGGAACCAGCAAATGTGTTAAAAACATTGTGGGAATTTCTTTATTGCTATATATTCTTTTTCTTTTTCCTGTGCACCAGTCACTAGCCAAGAAATTTCCCCTATTTTCATTCTGGCATTGGGATGTCACAGAGCAAAAGGGTTCATCCTAAAGCTCAATAAATGGAGCAAAATTGTTGATACACACAAATCATGGCTTCTCAGAAATTCATAATGTATCACTGTGGTTAAAATAGTCAATATATAATTTGATATTTTTAGATTCTTGGCACTTTATGCCAATTTAACTGAAATGATTCTTGCACTTTGTTTTCTCTCTACAATGTAGTCACAGCACTTTCTTGTGTAGGAATTGGTTATTGTTGTGTAAGACCCACTCACGGAAGAGTTTCTAATACAGTAATTGAATCAGTCCTTCGATAAAATTAAGAAGTTAAAGTCTAGTGATATCTGAAATATAATATGCAAATATTTTATTTTCTTAAATTCACAAAACACAAATTCTTGCTCTGTATTTGTTGCTTGTTGATTGGGTGATTTTATTGAAATATTTGGATCTCTTGGTTTATGTAAAACCTTAAGCCTACTGTAACGTATTAATAAAATAGGTTTATCATACTATTTTTAAACACAAAATAACATTTTGAATAAGCTCTAAAGCCATTCAGCGCTTTTAAAAGTTTAGATCTTAAAGATATTTATGTTTTATTTTGGTCTTAAGTTTGCTAATATTTTAATTTGGCTGATAACTTTCTTGCTATTTATCCATTTTTAAAAGATATCATATAAATTAAATATGTAATTAATATTCTTTATATAAAGAAATTCTAGTGACTTTTATTATTATGTCTTTATTATATATTATAAGTGTGCAAAACACTTAAAAATTAAGTAAAAGATAAACATTTTTCCTTAAAAATAAATAAATGAATAAGGTATCAAATAGTCTTTGGATTTAGTTCCTTTGTTTATTCATTTGTTTCTTTAACTCTGGCATCACCATCATTCACCAACCTAGTGCTGCAAGACACAAATGCTGAACCACCACACAACGCCAACACCACCTTTTCAATCACCATTGCTCCCCCACAGTGCTACATCATTTGAACCATCCACCGCTTCCCATCCTCATCTCTCTGCCCTTCCTTTTCTTCATGTAATTTGGTGACAGATTGTGTTGGAACCATGGTCGTGATCACTCACAACTCACACTAGCTATGTGGTTGTTGGTGCTAAATTAAACAGAAACAAGGCTAAGGACAAAGGGCCAAAATTAAGATTCAACTACCCCTAAATAACATTGTTATTGTCTCCCTTGTAGTATACACATGTCACTTAAAAACCACCTCAAAACTGAGTCTTTTGTCCATTAATAGTGGTGACGAAAACACGACAATAATAACTTTTTGATGGATTAAAGGGCCCTTTCAGATGAACTCATGAAGTGTCAACGAGAAGACAATAACGGTAAACAAAGATAAGATATTGAACTAAATTAAATGATAAAATGTAATTTCCTCCTTCACAACAAATAATATCGTTAGGTTACAGTTTAGAAAGCACCCACATGCACTCATTTCAAACAATCTAATAAGAACGTGGCACAACATATATCCTACATCTAACTGCTGCTACAACTATGAGTAAACAATATTAGATATGCGTCATGAGAACAGAAACATGAAAGCCTAACAAATAGATTTTCTAACACTAATAATAACTATCACCAAAGTGAACAATTTCTCAAGTCAAAACCAACCTTGATTTCTCATCCCACTGTAAGACTTTTGTCGAGTTAATCGTCAGCATCAGTCATGCATGAGTGAGTCTATACGGGGTTTGACTCTTCAGAACACCAAATACTTAGAAAGGAACTTGTTTAGCTAGCAACTCCAGCATCTGCATAGCTTGTGTTAGGCTCTTCTTCAGGGAAAGGAGCTTCATCATCAGAAGGTTGTCCATTGCCAAAAATGCTGTCCATTTGAAAAGCAGCTGGTGTCAAGATTGGCTTTACTTCACCAAGGTCAATTCTTATTTCTTCGACAGGAGTAGGGGCAATCATTGGTACATGTTCCACCCTTGGCTTCTTCGGTTTCTGCTCCAGCTGATGACCAGGAAGGAAACTAGCCACAACAACCTGATGCAGAAGATGCAATGAGAATTCTTAAGGAAAATATTTCTCATACATGTAGTTTAGTTGTTTCATTCTTCTTTCACGGAGTAGTTGAGATAATAGAGAAAGTCCATCATCACTCTTAGTGAGTCTAGCCTACATTGTTTATAATGAGAGTAATTTGGAAAACCATCATTTGGACCAATATTATATCTTTTTTTAAGGTTCATTTATATATATATATATATATATACACTATTAACTAATAAAAAAAATTGTTGTTTTTAAAGTAATTATCGAAAAAAATCAACAAATTAATCATATTTCACAAATTTGTGATTTAGAGGACAATATTAAAACTCCTTACTTATAGTCTCATGCATAGCCTAATTACGCTTCATATTTAATAAAGGTTAAGAAAACCTTAAGAAGAATTTTATAAGGTTATTTCTTCATCAATTTAAACTCTCGGACATCCTCTTCTTCATGAGAAATTTACCTGCACAGGACCTGCAGCTACCAGCAAACCAGCAAGTCCACCCCCCATTACTCGACCATCTGGACCGGCCAAAGAGATGCTCATCCCACCAGATCTGCTCTTTGTTAACCCATTCTCAGTTGGCATATATGAACCAGTCAAGGAAAGAATTTCAAAGCGCCCCTAAGAAACACCAAAATGTTCCAGCATATTATTATGTATTTATCAAGTACTTACCCAAGTGCAATATAAAGAAAAAAACACTAGCAACACACTATTTGACATATTCTATTTCAAACACTTCGTCATATTCTTGATAAGTTAAAATTGGTTAATGCACAAGTTAAAAAATAAAAAATTAGAGAAATTATATGAAGAGCTTTTATAAATTAGTTTATGCATAAACTAATTTTTAACTTATGCAAAAACTCATTTAAATTTTTTCCTCATTTCCTCTCTTATATGAAAAAGTTTTGTCTAAATAGGCCCAACATAAATACTCTTTCAATGAAATTTTGCATGCAGGAAAAAGTGAATTGTCATAAAGCACTAAACAAAGTCATTCGACAAATTTCTATTAAGTCAAAACAAGGGGCAAATTTCTATTAAGTCAAAACAAGGGGCGATCATGGAAAGTGTGAAAAACTAGAAGCATTCACTTGTAGTGTTCAAAAGCGAAAGATACTGAATTCTATAATAGAAGAACAATGGGGGTGATTAAATATAAGAAACAAAAGCATGTTTAGATCTAGAATTTGTGGACTAACAAATTCAAAGGCTTAAATAATCAACTTTAATATCACCTATTATGAGATATTAGTGAACTAACAACATTTGCTGATACAGATAAGTATCGCAAAAGAAGCCAAATCAAAAAGCAAATCTAAATTTTAGGTTCTATTCTTACCCAATTGCCAAAACCAAATTTAACAAAACATAAAATCAAGATCCTCCTAAATTATTATGGTTAACATTTTAGAATTTGATGCATCCAATTATCACTTAATGCCATCTACCTATAACATTACAAAAACAAACACATGATTTACCAACCCCCACCTGCACTGAAAATGAACTGACATTTGATACTTAAAATCTAAAACTGTAGACAGATAGGTGTGCATGTGACCCGAGAACATTAGTGTGTTACATTTAGACAACAAGGTTAGTACACACATACAATAACTGATAGAAAAATTTAGTACAGAACTAACCTCATATGTTAAAGTGCCACCAGAAGAAGTTGGTTGGCGTAGTGTAACATTTGAAATTGTGCCGTTTGCAGAGAGAATGCAGATCGCTTGACATCCTTGTTGAGAGAAGGACATAATCTTCATAGTAACATCCTGAAACAGGGCGCAGGAAGTCACAAATAAGCTTTCTTTCTTCTAGCCTCCTCTAGACTAAAATCTTCTACAACTTCTCAAAGTCAAAACATGTGAAGAACAATGGATTACAAACAAGCTAATTTCATATTTTCTTCAATTTCCTAAGAACCACTAAGTCTAAAGTTAGTACCCACGGTAGCATAGTGCTCACAACCTTGATTTGGGAAAGCATCAACTTGATCTTTGTTAACGTAGTTTTTGTAACCAGCTCAACTCTAGGTACACTATCTTTGAACACCCAACAACTTGTCATTCAAACAACATCCTATAACTAAAATTTTAAGCAACCAAGCAGTGATATGGTCAAGTATTATTTATTGTTTCATTTAATATTAATGGGATATCCTACCCACAGATGCATAATTAAACAAATATTAGTATGTATTTAATCATATACACTAATATCATTTTATTAAAAGCATTAAAGAGAGCAAATAGTACACCAAATAAAGAAAGTAAAATATGATATGGTAGAAGGAAATAAGAATTTTATAAGGTAAGATACTATTTCAAAAAAATGTATGAAATTCGACAATTAAACAAATGAACTGCCTATGCATTTCTTTTAGATATCGAATTCACAAAAAATTGGCTAAATATAATCTGACAATTAACAAAAAATAAACTTTAAAGAAAATGAACAAAATACCTCGCCAGCATTTACTACAAGGATGTGAGGTGTGAAATTGGCACCAACTGAGTATGCAATCCGATCGCCTATAAAAATAAATAAGGTAGATTAATTGATAGACGGCATGAGAGAAGAGAATGGAAATTTCAAAATGGAAGGTACTGTTCTATTTTTCATTATGAAAAAGCAAACCATAAAATAAAAAAGATCAGAAATAATTTAATTAGAACCACCTTCAATCAGACATGATATATGTCCATGGAAATAAGCTATATTGACCAATAGATAGTTTTCAAAGGAATACAACAATGAAAGAGGTTTTGTTTGTAAGCTGCATATGTGTGTGTGACAAGATCAATTATAAAGTAGAAAAAAATCTAAACAAATCATACAATTAAAAACTAATTGACATTTCATCACACCTCTTTACTTTAATGGACAATGTGCTACTTAAAAGATATATGTAAATATCTATCATTAGGTTATATTTTTGGAAATGTCTAAGAAAACATTTGATCTAGCTTTTGGGAAGACAAAAGACATGGTTTAGGCCAAAAGCTACAAGAGGTTCCAAAAGCGAACCAAACATGCTATAATTGACCTAAAATTTGATATGCACAATCATCATGATAAAATCACATGATTCAACAATTAGATTGCCAAAAATTAAAAAAAAAAAAAAAAAAAAGTTTAACCGTTTACAGAATTTGACACTTGTTCAATTGATCCTATATATATATAATCCAGATTAACTGACCTCATTGCTTGATAAGTTTCTATTTATCAGGTAACTGAGTGTTCCACTTCATGCCATTAGAAGCTGGAGATCATAACTCATCATACAAATTTACCAGAACCTGATTTCATGGGCATAATTACCATTTTTATACTGATTCACTAAAGTTGTCAATAAAAAAATATCAATTTTACACACCAAATCCTAAACCTCAGCTATACCATGATATGGTAGAGGTAAAACAATAATCAAATAAATTGTTAGTCTGATTCCAAATATATCATTTAACTAGATTTATCCTACTCCACTAATCATTAACCAAATGCATAATGTAATGAAACAGCTATCCTATGCTTCATTCGTTCCAAAACCTCCCCAAGAACATTCAGAGACCCACAGCCAAATCTCATAAAAAAATGTTATGAACCGGGATATCTTCAGATATAAAAGTAAGCTTGTTAAATTCACAGCTAAATATTAAAATGTTAATGTAGCATATGCATGGACTATCAATTTTTGCAAAAATGCAACTTCAAGAATCACCCCTGTCAGATTATTAAATTTTAGGTTCCTATTTTATAGCACGTCATGGTCCAAAGTCCAAACCAATAGTATATAGACTGTAGACCATGTCAAGCATTGTCACATCAGCTATGTACTGGACTGAACCTATTGAATATACTGGTGTGGTGCCTTCAGTTATTCCCACTCGGTTTTTGTGGTCAGATTATGTCACCTTCCCCTCATAAAGAAAAAAGGAGAATCATATGCTACCTTAACTGAAAACTGACTTCACTTCACTTTGACCACAATATATCCCCTTCCACCACCACACATTTTCATAGCCAGATCTGAAGGGAATCTAAGACAAGGGTCCACTTGTACCACCATATACAAAATCCACTTCCAAAACATAAATAAAATCCACGAAACAAACCAAACATATTGAAAACCAAGCTTAGATCAACTACAACTCAATAAACATTTTTACATAAATAACAACCCTACTAATTTTGAAAAGGGAAAATAAGAATCTACTACTATTTACTGCTAATGCAACAGTAAAACATAAAAAACAAAACAGTAATTATTATTAAGATTTAAGGCTAAAATATGTAAGAATCAATGAGTCATTTTTTTCTACCTGGTCCTGCGCCTTGACCTTCAACTTCATAAAACTTAAAAGACTTCTTGATTGATTCAACTGGTTTTCCTCTACCCCTTTTCCAGGCTGAAAAGTCTCCAGTCAATGGAATCGACGAGGATATCGGCATCGGCGACAGAGCCAAATTGCCGTCCGGTCCATATTTCCTAGGCCTGCCCCTCTTCTTCTTCCCCTCTGTGCTACCGGAAGTAATCACCGGAGCACTCACCGGTGTCGGTGAATCCACCGTGGGCCCAGAAAACTGCACGGAGTTTAGTGCCACGTGGAAGCTCTGGGGGGGTTCGACAACCTTAACAGCCTGCCCAGAACTAAAAATCTCTTTTTCCTCCATTTTTTTGCGAATCAAAGAAAAACTAAGACACCCAAAACCCTTAAAACACGCTTAAACCCTACCCATTGAAGATTCAAGGGATTACAGACTAAAAAAAATAGGAAAAATTATTTTTTGAACTCAATGAAGACAAATGTACTTGAACGCAGAACTGACGTACCCAGACACAGTACAGTGACGTATGAACACAGAAAAATTTGTAACTGCACATAAAAAGTTCAAAAATAGAAAATTTTGTCTGAAATGACGAAACCCAGAAACAGAACTTTGAACGGTTGAGGTTGAACTCCGAGAAAGACGCGATACTGTGGCTCAAATCTCCACCATTGCAGAGAGCGGTAAAAGCTTCAAAAAAAATGCAAAAATTTTGAAAAATAAATTCTACAATTACAGAGAAAATAACAATTCCGGTTCACGAATTCGCCGGAATGAAATATGAAATTAGGGTTTTGCAGGAAAAGGAGGAGTAAATAAATAAAGTTGAAAATGGGAAAATAAAATAAATTGTAAAATGATAAAGTAATAAAGTAATTAAATAATGGGAATTTAATTAATAATTAATATTTTAATTGCAAAATTCAAAGTATAAATTTTGGTTAAGAGATTGGTTCACGTCCGTCTTGGAAATTTAATAAAGATGATTTAATAAATGACTGAGAATACAGATCCTTATCAATTTAAATGCATAAAAAAATAGGTGATGTTTTTGGAAAAAACAAAACTTTTAATAATAATTGCAATTTATTATTTACTGCTTTTTGAAAAAAATAAAAATAATATTAGAAGCTGTAAAGCTAAGGTTGGAGCCATTCCATTGCCCCAACTACTGACAAGTTCTGTCTTTTAAGTTATATAAAAGTTGACCAAACATAAATAGATGTTTCACAAGCAAAAGAAAATTGAATTTAAATGCTCAATTGGTTTGGTGAATCTACTCTAAGAACAGCATGCTCAGCTCTTCCACTTTTTCTCCCAATATTTTTTGACCTTCTTTACTCTCTTTCACAGCTTGTGTTGACTAAAAGGCCATTTCTTCTTAGAGAAGAAAAAGGACAAAAGAAATTAAAAAAAAAAAAACCTTGTAGACACAAGGGGCTACCAAATACTAACACTATGGGCATGCATCTACAATTCTGATGTGAATAGGGTATCCATAAACAGGTAATATTGGTAATGGATACCGTGCTATATTTTTGTAGCAGCAACTTCCCAAACATGGAAGGCCTATTTAATGAACATTGAGAAAAGGGAACAAGTCCAAATAGAGCAATGTTTCACACAACTAAACTGTGTTTGAAAAAAGTAAACTTCTTGATACAATTATTATTATTTGGTTTTGTGCTAGCTGTTGACTTCACACTAAAAGCTGTAGACAGTTGTCAACACACGCAGCCACATAGCAAATAAAGAAGTTTTCTCATGCTAATTAATACAAGTTGACTTTCTTTTCGGGAGGATTTGAAGTGAATTTTCATCAAATCTGCTAGGAGTACGTACACCTGGGAAACAAAGGGCAGGTAAAATACAGTTGAGGTGTGAAACTTCTATCTATAAAAGAAAATTACATTAGATGCAAAATTTAGCATTAATATGCCCTTTCCACACCATAGTCCACGCCCACTTCTCAGACTATGTACATAATCGGGAAGTCAATTACATTTGGCTTGTGATTATCATTACAGGTAACTGCTATAACAATGTAATTATGTAATCTGGAAAACCAAACAAACAAATTATGCTAACACAAAATCGAGCCTTCTTTCCTCAATGGAGTATTCAGTCTCTTCTCCATAAAGAACTGATGCAAGGGCTGGAGTCATGGACATATTCATAGAAATTGACACTTTTAAAGGTGAAGTGGGGACAGGAATAGGTGTTGCCTTTGGAGTTCTATTATCTTCATCCACCACTGTGGTTGTCTTTGAGGTAGTGATGGATAGAAAATTGCGAACTACTAATGTTTTCTGCAACTTCTCGTTCCGTGCATTTGCAACATTCTGATTCGATGATACCCATTAAAGAGATGGGAGAAAAAGGTTGGCATTTACTAACACTTCCAGCACTAGTAGATAATTTTTTTATAGGAACACCAGCAATATCAAGTCCTCTTCTAGCTATAACATTAGAAAAAAAAATGAAGTGACACAAAGAAAGTCGTTAAGTATATATATGTATATGCTGTTTGTGCAAATTGTATGAAACACAAATATTCAAAGGAATGTTTGATATACCAGCTAGAAATTATGCGAAAATCAACCAGCTGAGATGTGGCTTTGGCCTCCACCTTCAACATCAAACGAATAAATAATGTCTAAACCATTCCTTGGCGCCACATACAACCTTACCAAAAAGCCATCATCATCATCATCAAGAGTACATGGGAGGAGAATCCGATTGAGAATCTTCTTCTAAAACAAAAGAAAACATAAACAGGTACCCAAGAATCTATTGTTGCATTTATATGGCAAGTTTGGCACATTAACTAAATTACAGAATGAAAAATGCTATGCTAATTGTTAATGGAATTTAACGGTAATAAAGTAGCCTACTTCCATAACGAAAAGGGGGAAAAATGATGTAGAAGACAGAGAATTTGGCTTTATCAATTTTCTATTTTGTTTAGCAGGATCTGAACCTATATACAACATTCCAAACAACCCCCTTACCGTTGTAGCCAAAACTAAGTGAAGCAAATTCTTAAGAGAATATGCATTGATTCCTGTTCTTTCTTTCAACCAAATCCTTACTGTGTGAGAAACCTGCAAGCCAGAGGTATGAAAAACTGGAGGGGGGTATCATAAAATAAATTAACTACCTGATGATAAATATGAAACCTCATCATCGAGGTTATTTAGTTTATCATTTTGGTGAGCTTTGTCTCTCTTCCTCGTGGAGAATGACTGATGAGCTTTTGAATCAGATTTTGGTGTTTGACATCCAAGGGATTTTCTACTTGCACTTGCAGTTAACATCCTAGGTGGCTTTTTTGCACTCTGGGCCTTAGAAGGGCTTGGTTTTGACCCGTAGAGTACTTCCTTTTCCGCTGTTATTTGTCCATGAAGTTTTTTCAGTTCCTAAAACAAAAACATAATATGTAAACAAGTTGTGAAGAAAAAAAGACAAACCATAAAATGTTGCCTGAATTTTTAAATTCCGAGAAAAATCAGGGTGTTTCTCATAACTACAAAATTTATACTTGAGAATCTTAAAATGCAACAGGTGGTCCATATACCCGCTGCCTACGACGTTCTTGCTCCTTCTCTTGCCGTGATAGGGAGTAGTTCTCAAGCATAGAGACAAGACAGGTCTAGAAAGTCACATGCAACAAAAATTAGTTTGAGACATACTTGCTGAGCAACCAACAGACACCAAGATGACCTCCAAATGATTCCTAAGGTCAGGTGAGGGTACTTACACCATCATATTGGAATTCCATGCCGTTGTCCTTTTCCCATGCGATAGTTTTTGAGGTTAATGCCTCTACCATTGCTACATGCAAATAAAAGAAAATGAAAAAGACATTATGCATTAATAAACAAGCATCAAGGAAGGTAAACTTGTGTTGCTGTTAGTATCATTAAGATGGTCAAGGTGGTCCTATATATAACAAAACAACATGGCTGAGAAAGAAACAATCAAGAACTATAACCTGGAAGTTTGCTAACCAAGGCACGGGCTTTCTCGGCTCGCTTGAGAGTAAGATGAAAACCTCTTCCAGCATTGTATCGATTTTCATCCTGGAAGAAAACAAACAACAAAATTAATAATTGTAAAGTGTGATAGATATGGGACGGGGAATCCATTTACACCGTTAGGGGCCATTTGTTTGTGATTTTATAAAAAGGGATGGTTAAGGATGTATAAAAAGGTAGTTATTATCAAGCTTTTTTTCACAAGCTACTAAAAAAATAATCTGAAATCTGGCTCTTTTTTTTTTCAAAACCTTAAACCTAAACATTTAAAAGAACTCAAAAGTCATTTTTAAAAAAATATAAATTATTTTTCATGAAAAATAAAGGCTGGAACAAACAAGCTCTTAATAAATTTCTTTAACGAATTTTGAACTTTTATCTATCCAACTGCTGAATACACCGTTCAATGTTAATACCAACAGAGATAATAAAGTAATGTCCAAGCGGGTAAGTCCATAACAGAGATGGTGAAGATAACAGACTGACCATGTTGTACTCCTCAAGCCAAGATTCTTCATCACGTGCTGACAACCATTTCTCAACTTTTTCAAGTATTTCTTTTCTGGCAAAAGCTTCCTCTTTTACACGGGCAATCTGAAGTTCAATTTGTTCAAGCACACAAGCTGGGTCTACCAATCCTGATAAAGAAAGGAAAATGGAGACTTTAAGTTTGCTGAGGAAACTGTTACGCCATTCAGTGGTTTCTCGTTTGGAACTTACCAGATTCAATAGCTTCAACAGCATATTCCACTGCACTATCAATTTGTGGAATCAAATGAGTCTTTTGACAAATCTCCTCTAGCTCTGCTCTTTTCCTCAAAACAAGCTCTTTCATTTTGCTTGATTTTAACTCTTCCAATCTAGATACTTCTGCCTCAACCTGCATGAAAACATTATTTCTCCAGGAAATCTCAACCACATAAAATCAAGAAAACTTGTCCTTATTTCTCCAGTAACAACTCACATAATTGATGAAGTTCTCAGACAAGCTGTCTGGTTCAGTTACTTCATCTTCTGAAGCAACGATATTACAAGTAACATTCTGAAACCTCTGTTGCTCTTCAACAGGCGTATCCATCAAATTCCAGAGCTCCAACATTGTTGAAGCTAGATCTTGAAGCTGTCAGACCATAATCAATTTACAGCTTTCAACCAGAGAAAATAACATGAAATTATAAACAAAATTAGATATTCAAACTGTTAGTTTTTACCCTCTGCATTCTATGTAATTTAACTTTTCGCAGTTCTTGTATGGCAATAGCTAACTGATTGATGGTTTCACTATTTACACTCCTAGGACCTTCTGAGATTGCAAAGCTAGGATGGATTCCACTGAGTGTCTGCTTAATGTCCAAACCAAGCACTGTACAAAGGGAATTCAAGGTAAACAGATGGTCTTGAACCTTCTTGTGGCGCTCACTCTGCATATGAAGTAACAAAGAACAATATGTGATGGATTTAAATTGATTTGAAGTTTCACACACACACTAATACAACTCAGAGAGAGAGGAAGGGAAAGTATAAGTAAATTATGGACCTTCTCCTTCTGCAGTGCAAGAAGCTCTCTGTGCAATTCTTCAAGCTTTTTCAATGACAAATCGGTTTCATCTACAACAGCTGTAATATTTTCACTTGCACTATAAATCTCATTTGAGATACTTTGAATCTGTTCTTGGACTTCTATGAATTGATCTCTACGGTCAGACTTCCTTTTTTGCATTTCCTCTAGCTCTCGGTGAACTCTTGCAAGCTCTTCCTTCAAGCTTCCAGCATTTTGGTCAAACTAGAAAAATATGAAAGACAAGAAAGAACCAATCCTCTTCTTAGTAACCTTACTTTAACTGCTACGGTCGTTATAGTGACAACTAAGAGAACTATACAAAAATTTGTCATGCATGTTAGGTATATTGATCGTTTTAAGTAGGCTACTAAGGACCAAAAACAACCTTCCTCCTTAACCTGTGCTTGGAACAACTGAGAAAACTATAAGGTATATTATTTTTTACGGACCTCTCTCAATATAACAGCTGCATTTGCCACTCAGTTACTCATTGAGAACAGTTTAGATACAAATCTGTACAAGAGCTTTCATTGTTAACCATTAATACATCTTATGCAATCCCTTCAGATTATTGTCACAAATACAACAATAAATACAGTGTCATTTGCCTTAAGATTTTTATCCACTTTATTTGACCAATACATAAGCCCTAAAATAAAAGTAAAGCTTAGTGATTCATAAAACACCCAACCTGCCTAATATGCACTGGTCGCTCCCCCATTGTTGAGCAGATACATGCAAGCTCTGCCTCGGAATCAGCGATATCCTGCCTTAGTTGAGCTCTAGACCGATTTGCTTTATCTACCTTTCTTCTGTATACTTCTACACATTCTTCTTCAAGCTCAAACAACATTCTACCTTTTTCAGCCTCAGACTCCCCAACTTCATTCCATATTATCTATTATGAAAAAATAGCCAAGACAAACGATAAGAGTCCTTCAGTTTGCTGCACATTATTGTATTTGGCCAGTGGGGCAGGGAAGCATTAAAGATAAATTGCAGCAAAAATTTAATGTATACCTGAAGTTCGTCAAGAAGTGATCCACATGTTGGATTGAGTCGTAAAAGATGATCTTTTTTAGGTTTAGACATTTTGGATCAATTGAATCTACCCAAAACAACAAACTGCAAAAACCATTGCCCCCCTAAAAGAACTAAAACTTGAGAAACAATAATTTCAAATTGATGTATCACAAATGTAGAAATTTACAGTACTTGCAAGTTGCAACATACTTGAATCCATGATCAATCATTCAAAATAAGTCAAAATCCAAGAAGAATCAAGTTCCAACATAGAATTGCTTGTCACTTAAAATATAGCATGCTCTTGAAAAAAAAAAAAACACCATTGCTACAAGAAACAGTAAAAATGAGTGAGGCTCAATAAGATGATGAAAACAATTCTCTGTGATTATAGTATCATTCATGCGTCGAATTTCTCACAAGAAATCGTGTAGTATCATGCATACTGCAAATGCAGCAACAGGCACAGAGAATAGTCGGGAAAAAAAAAAGAAAAGAAAAAGGAAAGTACTATAATAAGGAGAGAAATTCCAATCATTTCATGTCCTCTTCACTCTCATTAACGGAATTATACATTAAACTCTAGACCAGGCAAAATCCTTCAACCTAGAGTTTGTTATACGGTTTCTCTTACTTTTCGTTTAAGTCCTGGACATTATGATAATCTAACATGCGTCCTTCTTTGTCTATATTAGCAATTGACTCCTTTGTCCCTCTTGTAAATTTGTTCTTCCTTATCCCAGCTACATTTGATACAGTCTCAACTGTTTAAGGCTCACCTATATGTTAAATTAGTGAAACAATGACAATGCAAGTTGTTAAATATCGAATTCCTATACTTAGATCATCAACTGTTCTCTTTACTAAAGAAATATTCTTCTAAAACATAAAAGCCACACCGTTATCATTAGGATTAAGCCTCCAAGGCTTAATAAGCCAGCATGCCCCGTAACTGCATACTTTTTTTTCTGAAATTTTAATTGTCGACAGAGCATGATTCCATCATTTTATCCATGTAACTCAAGTTTTGGACCTGTAATCTGTAAAACCATTTTTCTTAATCCAACATCCCCAATGTAACAAAAAAAATGGAGATAATCAAACACAATTGATTGAACCCAGAGATTCAATCCAAACTCAGCATAAAATATTTTAAAGCAAGCACGTAGCTTTCTGCCGCGGGCATCATTAGGGAAAATATTGTAACCAACACAATTACCCAAAACAGAAGGTTATGGGACCATTACACAAAACAGATTAGACAGGAAAGCCATGGTGTTTCGATGTGAAGGACAGAGAAGTACAACGTAAGATACTAAATTTAGGTTGATTTTTTTTTTCTTCATTTGTGAAACCCAGATTAGAAACTTTTTGTCGCTACACTTTACTCGGAAACAGAACTCGATTTTGAGGGAACCCAGAAAAACAAAAAATGAGAAATTTACTATTATTATTGTAAACGATCTTAATCATCACCTGTTCTTGAAAGGGATTGGCCAATTGCCTTTGGTCTACAAACCCCCCTGACAACAAAGGGGGATTCGTTTTCCCGAGAAAATGAAAATCCGTTTTCCAGGACAATGCAGCTTTTGTGAATTGGGATGAGAAATAGAAAAATAGAAAGAGCAGAGAGACAAGAGAGAGAATGTAGCCGTTTGATAAAGGCGAACCGTTGAAGAGCGGTTACAGTGGATTTTGATTTGGTATTACCATTGTTTTCTACACATAAATAAATAAATTGTTTATATTATTGGTTGTATTAGATGGATTTTGCACTGTAAAAACAATTATTCAAAAATGGAGCAAAACACTGAATTTGGCATATGTAAAAAAGCTTGAATTTGGCATAAAAAAATATAATTCTTTTTCTTTTTCTTTTTTCTGATTTTATTATTTTAAAATTAATTAGTAAAACAATTAACAAAAAATTCTAAACAAATTATTATTACTGAAAAATCATATAAACAATTAATATTTTGAATTTCCATTACAGACGTTGCAATAATGTAAACCCTCAAAGCTAATGATATTTAATAAAAAAATGAATTGAAACGAATAATTCACCAATTTAACTAAAATTCCCAAATAATTCAATAAATTATAAATTAACTCAACTAATATTTAACAGTTTGTTGCCAATAGAAAAATATACAATATTCTCATAGATTATTAACATTCATGGAGAGAAAAAGTAAAAAAAAAATAGACTTCATGCTTAGCAATCCATTGTGTAGAAAAGTTTTCTTCGTCATAGGTATGTTTAAATAATAACTTAAAGAGATTATTATATATAGGAACATTTTTTTTTTCTTTTACTTGAACTTCAATATTTAGACACCACATTCAACATTCAATTAATCTAGTTTGAACCATGTAAAATTCCCATGAACAACACAAATTATTTTAAGACACATGTTGACAAAATTCAAACTCATATATACATGTAAATTAGTACGAGGATGACAATTTTTATTTATTATTTTATATTTTCATTTGTTGTTTAAGAGTAATTTTGTTTAACTATGATTAATCTTCTTTAACCATTTATGAATATCGAAATGATATTTTTAGTAAAAGTTACTTACAAATAAATATAAATAATATTTTATTATGAATTATTTAGAATGAAAAAATTAAATAAAAATAAATATTTTATTATTCATCTTATTTTAAGTTACTTAAAATTAGAAAAAATTATTTATATAAGTAATTCTAACTAAATTTTAAATAATTTATTTATAGGATTCATAATAAAATATTTATATTTATTCTCATATTACTTTTATTAAAAAAATTATTTATAAAAATGTTTAAATAAAATATTAAATGTTTAAATTAATTTTTTATTAAAGAAATTCTATATAATACAATAAAAATCAGGTGTAATTAAAGTATTAGGTATTTTAAATTTGTTTGTAGTTGTTTCATTAAACAACTTTAAAAATCAATAAATCAAAATAAAAAAAATGAATGTTTTAAAATTTATTAGAGGAAGTAATGTAAAATCTAAATCCTTATCTATATATTTTAATATAAGAAACAATTCATTATAATTGTTCCTATTGAATCTTATATCAAAGTTATTTAAAAATATAAATAAAATATTTTATTATAAATTTCATCTACAAGTTTTTTAATATTAAAAAAAATAATTTAAAATTAATAAAACAATAAATAAATTAATAAAATTTTAGATAATTTACTTATAAAACCTAAAATAAAATAGTAATGTTTATTCTTATATAATTTTTACTAGAAATACTTTTGGAGATAGTTATTGGTATAAATAACTTTCTTATCATTTTCATCCTATCAAAACCATAATAAAATATTAATTTTTATTACTTTTCACTCAAAAATAGCTTTCTCAAAACCTACTTACACGACCCAGCCCCTGCCCTCAAAACCTCACTCTTTGTTTCTCCTTTCTCTCTTCATCTCTTGCCAATGGCTTCCATCCCCACTCTTTCTCCTTCCCTACCCACACTTTCTCCTTCCCTACCCACACTTTCTCCTCACTCTTCACTCCATTCAAACCCCAACCACTGCACTCTCCCTCTCACCTCTCTCTTTGGCACCAGGATCACCCTCCAACGCGCCACCTCATCGTCCCGTTCTCTACCCAACACCAATTGCCGTGCTACGTCAGCAACAGTGTCGTTTAGCCTCCCCACCCCGTAAGTTTCCCTCTCGGCCAACGCCCTTGAAACCCTCCCCACTGTGATGGGTCGCTTGAATTTCCTTCTGGGTCGTCTTGGATTGCTGAAAGTTTTCACTTTTTGTGTTTATGCAGGAAACCTATTTCTGATGCGCCAGAGAAAACCCCAAAGTGAGCTCCTTGTTGTTGTTACTGTTGTTCACGTTTTTCAGTGTGGTAATTGGTTGTGTGTATGTGTTTGGTTCAGGTGGTCCGCGAGGGCTATAAAATCGTATGCAATGGCGGAGTTGGAAGCGAGGAGGATAAAGTTTCCCAACACGGGAACCGAGACTCTTCTAATGGGGATTTTGATTGAAGGTTTGTTATAGTTGGTTTTTCAATTTTCAGTAATAGCCATGAAAACTAGTGCTTCTTAAAAGAAGAAGAAAATCACAATTAAACGGAATCTCAATCCTTATTGTATAGCCATCCGCATCTCTTGCACAACTGCAGTGCTCCTTGCCTTTTTGCATATTTTGTTTACAGCTGTATTCTGTTACTAGGTTCTAGAATTTGCTGAGGTGTATCATTTTCTGTTATTACGTTTTGTCTTATTCTCTTCCATAAGTTGTATATATTACCTATTCTTTATTCAATGAGGAATAAGAAAAAATTATTCTCATCCTTTGTCCCTGACTATTACTTTTCTTGCCTCGCTCTTTCTTTTACTTCTATCATCAAATTAGTTGTGTCTATACGTCTCAAAAAAATGGTCGTGTTGAAAGAAAGCATCAACATATCCTTAATGTGGCTAGAGCTCATATGTTTCAATCCCAACTTCCAAAACCCTTTTGGTCCTATGCTATTAAACATGCCGTTTATCTTATAAATCGAATTCCATCACCCATAACTAACAACTGAACTCCTTACAAATCACTACATAAAAAGCATCCAAATTTTTCCATGTTAAAGGTTTTCGGTTGTTTATGTTATGCCTCCACACACTGTTCCCGTCAAAAATTTGATGCTCGGGCTAGAAGTGGTATTTTTTTGGGTTTTCAAAATTCCAGGGAAATTTGTGTCTTGTAACGTTTTGTTTAATGAGATGGTTCTTCCATTTACTCAAATTTCTTCCACTAACATGTCTAATGACCAAAGCCCATTGTCAGCCCATCATATTCCTCACACAAGTTTTTATGATCACACCACCCCCCTTAACAATCAGCCCAACACCCCCCTAACAATCAGCCCATCCCAATATCGTCCCCACTTTCAGAACATGACACATCTATTCAACAACCCCTCATCTCGTCATCCCCTACCCCTCCCATACCTCCATCCCCACCACAAGAAAACCAACCCACCCGGCGCCCAAATCGCCTTCACCACCGTCCCCAATACCTTGATGATTACGAGTGCAACGCATGCCCCAACATTCCAATCCGTGGCTCAACGCCAGCAAACCAATCCTCTCCAAAGATATCATATCCTGTCCAAGCAGTTGTTAATTATTCCCACCTATCTTCCTCTCACACTTGTTTTTTGATGAGTTTGTCTTTTGAGCAAGAACCCACCACTTATCGTGAAACAATAAAGCACCGTTGTTGGCAGGAGGCCATAAAATCCGATATTCAAGCTCTAGTTCGTAATCAAACCTGGGAAATTGTGCAGACACTGTCAAATGTGAAGCCAATTGGTTGCAAGTGGGTGTATAAGATTAAGCGTGATCCAAATGGGTCAATTGAGCGCTACAAGGCACGTTTGGTGGCCAACTCTCAGATTGAAGATATTGACTACCTCGAAATCTTCTCTCCCGTAGTCAAGATGAGCACGATTCGCGTTGTTTTGGCAATCGCTTCCATTAATCATTGGCATTTACAACAACTTGATGTTAGTAATGCTTTCCTATATGGGGATCTCACAGAGAAGGTGTATATGGCCATTCCTCAGGGTGTCTATGGCTATCAACCATCCCAATGTTGCAAACTGAAACGGTCACTCTATGGCTTAAAACAAGCCAACCACCAATGGTTCGCAAAGCTATTCAATCTGTTGAAGCATTATGGATTCACGCAGGCTCATGCTGATCACAACCTTTCTACGAAGGTCATTGGTCCTACTATCACTATCTTAATCATTTATGTGGATGATATTGTTGTGGCAGGTAACTCCCTTGCTGAAATTGATAAAGTTAAACACATCTTGCGTTCCAATTTTCATATAAGGGATCTAGGCAAACTCAAATATTTCTTGGGGATTGAAGTTGCCCACTCATCCTCTGGTATCTCATTATGTCAAAGAAAGTATTGCTTGGACTTGATTAACGATGCAGGCCTTTTAAACTCCAAGCCATGTTCCACACCAATGGACACCTCTCTTCGCCTTCACCATGATTCTAGTCAAGCTCTGGTTGATCCCTTATCATACAGAAGATTAGTTGGCCGATTGATATATCTAACAAATACCCGTCCGAACATCGTTTTCGCAACCCAACAACTCAGTCAGTTCATGGTTGCTCCCACTCAATCCCATTTTCAAGCTGCCTTAAGAGTTGTTTGCTATTTGAAGTCTACTACTGGGAAGGGATTATTCTTCGGCAAAAATTCCTCTTTTCAATTGTCTGGGTTTAGTGATGCAGACTGGGTCACTTGTGTTGATACTCGTCGTTCTATCACTGGATATTGCTTCTTCATTGGTAGTTCTCTGATCTCATGGAAAACAAAAAAGCAATCTACAGACTCTAGATCCTCTGCCGAGGCTGAATACTGGGCTCTCGCCTCAGCCACTTGTGATCTTCAATGGTTGTCTTATTTACTTCGAGACTTGCGGATTCCTTGTTCAAAACGTGCTACACTATATTGTGATAGCCAAAGCACACTCTACATTGTTGCAAATCCAGTTTTTCATGAACAGACTAAACACTTGAAAATTGACTGCCATCTGGTTAGAGAAAAGCTTCTTTCTAGATTGATGAACCTCCTTCCAGTTTCATCTTCCCATCAACTTGCCGATATGTTCACTAAGGCGCTCCCTCCAAAACAGTTTCAATCCAATCTTTCTAAGCTTGAGCTTCATGACATTTTTGAACCTCCAGCTTGTGGGGGGCTAAAAGAAGAAGAAAATCACAATTAAACGGAATCTCAATCCTTATTGTATAGCCATCCGCATCTCTTGCACAACTGTAGTAATCCTTGCCTTTTTGCATATTTTGTTTACAGTTGTATTCTGTTACTAGGTTCTAGAATTTGTTGAGGTGTATCATTTTCTGTTATTACGTTTTGTCTTATTCTCTTCCATAAGTTGTATATATTACCTATTCTTTATTCAACGAGGAATAAGAAAAAATTATTCTCATCCTTTGTCCCAGACTATTACTTTTCTTGCCTAGCTCTTTCTTTTACTTCTATCATTGAATGGATTTTGTTCACATAAACTTTTGGCTTAAATATTGTTTTTTGTCACCATGTGTATGATAACAATGTTATATCTTTAAGATTAAGGTTTGTTAACACAATAAGCTCTAAGATATATTTTCACTGAACACACTACATTATTATTTTAGCAATCAAATGATATTTAAACTGTTAGTTTTTTATATGGACCAAGATTGCACATTGAAGAAACTATGGAGACCAAAAGTGGATTTAAGCCTAAACCTTTTCACACTTATATAGGAGATATACTAATAAGAGGGTAAAATGAATTAATTTTTTTTCTGTAGAGCTATAATCAATTTATGCACTTCAGCATTTGGAGAAGTTAAATGAGTATTTTTATTTTTTATTTTTTTATGTATAAATGTTAAGTGAATAAGTTGATTTAATTTACAAGAGAAGTTCAATTTATTTTACTTCTTAATTTATTTTTCCCTAGAGCTTAAGAAGAAATTTGTGCAGACATGCTTGTCCAATTTTGTTGCATGGATGGATGCCGGTGAAGATGTAAATTATCCATTTTGAATGGTTAGGGCGGTTTAGGATTTTTTTTCCTGTTTTATCCTTCTAAACTAGTTATGGGTTCAACTATCACGAGGCAGACATACTCAAGTTTTCATTGAAGATGATCATTTCACTTGTGGCTTCTCCCTCTACTTTGTGAGCAATTGTATTCATGTTTCATGCTTTCATTCTTATTGAAAGAAAAAGGGTACTATGTACATGGCTGTCACTATAACTTCAGATGCTGTGAAACCTAAACCAAATGTGCTATTCAAAATTTGGCACTAGAATCTACTTCATTTCTTCTGGTTGAAATAAATTCTATTTTAAATCTTTTTGGCAAGATCCTGCCATCTGGATTCTAAAGTTATCTGTGTCTTATGCATATCCTTGAGCACTTAATTTAAATGTTGATTTTGCTTTGTGCCTTTTGGATACCCTTGAACACTTTATCAATTTGGTTTTCCTTTCAGGAACAAGTCGAGCTGCCAAATTTTTAAGAGCTAATGGAATTACTCTTTTCAAAGTACGAGAAGAAACAATAAAGCTACTTGGGAAATCTGACTTGTTTTATTTCAGCCCTGAGCATCCTCCTTTGACTGAACCAGCCCAGTCAGCCCTTGATTGGGCAATTGAGGAGAAATTGAAGTCAGGTATACTTTGGGAAATCTGACTTGTATTATTTCCCTTTTGTCAAAATATTTCCTTTTTGTGAGTTAATTGATGCTTGAAATGAATCCATTGGTGGGTTTAAGTAGAAAGAAGCTTTGCCACTAAGTATGAAAGTTAATTTTAAATGATTTCATTTTTCAACACAAACTTAACAAAGTCTGAAAACTTGTTAATACGAAGACCTCGATAAATGCAATTAGCTTTAATAATTTGGATTATTATGGTTTTTAGTTACTGAACATTTTAATAATTTGTACAATGTTGAAAGTAAATGCTTATCAACCAAGCCACTGTCTAGTGTATTTTGCAATCTGACCTTGTGATGTTGCATTTGTACAATGTTGATCTTCATCTTGCTATCTAAACTTACATTTTCTTTTTATGTTTTCTCTGTGTATTTACTAAAATTATAATATATAATGTAGGAGAAGGAGGAGAAATAAACGTGACACATATACTTCTAGGAATTTGGTCACAAAAAGAATCAGCAGGTCAACAGATCATGGCTGCTCTAGGTTTCAATGATGAAAAAGCCAAAGAACTTGCTAAAACAGTAAGTCTCAATTTTTGTTGCTTTGATTGGCTGACACCTTAATGTTAATGTATAAATATGGTTTCTGTTTCTTGCAGATTGATGGAGATGTTGATTTGAGTTTCAAAAGGCAAACATGAGAAATTTCTTGCTTAAATATGTCATTTTAAATACTGTGTTGTACTCCATTCTGGAGGTGATGCATTTATTATTCTTTTTAAATTCATAAAGTTTTGTGGAGGTCAATTTAAGCAGTGTGTGATGGTGGAAATGCAATCCCACACTGCAGCATCTCTACCGTGTAGCTTTTTCACCCTTTTTGACTTCATATTTATCTGTACAATTTTCCTAACAGCGAAGCTTTTTCATTATGAATTGTAACTAACCCTCAAAAGTTCTTATGATCTGTGAAAAAAATGGTTGATTTGTTTCATGCAGAAGCCACTAGATGAGGTTCCTTTCGATGATCTTCTTGTGACATAGATATGATAGAAAGAATAAATCACCTAGGCATATTCTTAATTTGTGAAATTTTGTTTTTTTTTTTTTTTTAACAACTGAGTATTGGATCGAAATTTTTTAAAATCTGGATGCTATCTATAGTTGCAGAAAAGACAATAGAGATTCAAATTATGAATTAAAATGAAATTGGTGGAAATTATAATTTAATTATTTTTAAATATTTTAGTAATTATCACTGTATGGGCATAACAGTTTTTAACAACTTTCTAATAATTCCAAACTTAAGTAGTTAGCATTTTTTTTTCTTTTAAATTGATGGAAGGATTAAATTGATTTATGTCTTCTACACATAAAATATATTTTTAAAATAATTAACCAAATCGAATCTAAAATAACATAAGATCAAATATATAATTTAGTAAAAAAATTCAATTTCCAAATATTTGTTTTAAAAATTTTTCTCTTATATTTGCAATTCAATTTAAATTTATACTTTTTTTTTTACAAAATTACGTGAATTTAACAAATTTCGAATTTTCTTTTAAAAATATTATAATCAAATTCTACCTTTCATATAAAAATTCCCAATTTAGTTAATAATAAGCTAATTTGTTCCATTACCATGCATTGGTCGCTTTCTCGTAGAAAGGAGATATACTTTAATAAAAAAAAGATTTTAGAAAATTATTTTTTATATTTTTAATAAATAGATATTTGAATAAGAATTTATAACTTTTTTTTCTAATTTAAAATAAATCAAAGAAAAATATTAATATCTGAAGCTTTAGCTGGACACTCTTGTCAACGGATCTACCTTATAAATACATTTATTTTAAAAATAAAGAATTACCTTTCATCCTCATAATTAATTTTATAAAAATTAAACAATCATAATTAATAACCTAATTTTAACTATTGAATTAAAAAATATAAAAATAAATAATAAATCTTTAATTCTTATTTATCTTTTTATATACATTAAATATATTTAAAATACTTATTTTCATATAGTTAAAAGTTAAATTAATTTTATCCAACTCTAAACATAATTTAAAATTATTTTCTTTCAAGAACTAGTGTTTTTATTTGAGAACTCTTTTCATTTTTACCAGTAATTATAAAATATTAGATTATTTTCAATTACTTTTTAAAAATTTATACGCGAAAATAATAGCATTTTATTACAATCCATTTCATCAAATTTCATAATAATAATAATAATAATAATAATATATTATTATTATTATTATTATTATTATAATATCAGTATCATTAAAATTTATTTATTAATCTCTTCCAAAGTCTTCCCACCGAAGCTCAAATTCTTTCCCTCGCCCCGGAGAGTGAAAAAACACTGACGCACATCCGAGTGAGGGGATACAGAAACGCTCACTCCCGCCAAACCCAAACCCTAATCGAGGGTTTAAGCTCCGACAACATAACCCAATCCTTTCTCTTTCTCCATTTGACTTCCGAATTTGAATCTCGCGCCTCCTTCAACCATGAGTTTCGCGGCGTACAAGATGATGCAGTGTTCCACCGGCATCGACAACTGCGCAACCGGCTTCCTCACGCATTCACGCGCCGACACCGTCCCGCTCCAGCCCGACGACCTCGACGCGGAGTGGCCCTCTCGCCCCCGCCGCGTCGGCCCCCTCCCCAACCTTGTCGTCACCGCGGCCAACGTCCTCGAAGTCTATGCTGTCCGCCTCCAGCAAGACCAGCCGCCCAAGGCCGCCGACCCCCGTCGTGCTACCCTCCTCGATGGAATCGCCGGAGCCTCCCTGGAGCTCGTGTGCCACTACAGGTTTCGCCTCTGTCCACTTACCTGTTCTGGAATTTGAATTGTGCATAGCTTAGTTCATTTTGAAGCAATAGTAATAATAAGCGATTATTTCCTCGGGATCACACATTTTGAGCTGAGGTAGGGTAGTCGTGTGGATTTGCTGTGGCGAGCAACTAACAAGGTTCCGATTCCCGTAGAGAGAGGTGCTCACATTGAGTGTTTGTTTACTTGTTCTGGAATCTGAATTGTGATTAGAATAATTTTATTTTAAAGAAATAGCGATGAATTGAGATTATCTGGACTAGACATTCAAGCTTTGTTAGTTGTATGAACTTGCTGGAATTTAGAATGTTTAGTTTCAATAGGGGTTGGGTTGATTCTAGCGTAAGGGGGTTGGTTCACTTGTTCTGGAGTCTGAGCAGTGATTAGATTAGCTTTTTTTTAAAGAAATTGTAAAAATAGCGATTACTTTCTTTGAAATGATCTGAACTAGACATTTGAACCGTGATAGTTGTGTGATTTGCTAGAATTTAGTGGGAGGAGTTAGTCCTCTTGATAATGTGCAAAATCTAGGTTTGATTTTAGGTTTAGGGTGAGAGATAAAAGAAAAAAGAAAGAAATTGTGTCCAGAAGACAGTTTTTGTTTTAGCTATTTTGTTTTTAATTCTCCTTTGCAATTGATGGTACATTGCGGACTGAGTAGTGGTGATTCAGCATGAGATAATTGTATGTGTTTGGTTGATGGTGCTGGGATGTAGATTTGGTTGTTTTAGCTTTGTTACTTGGCTGAATTTAGGGATGAAGTTTAGAGGAGGCTGTGAGGATTTACTGGAATTTAGGGGTTGGGTCTTGTGGAAGGGATTAGTACCTACAACATGGCAGACCAAGGTTTGAATTGTTGTTGATAGATGCACACTTTTAGTGTTTGACCCTGCCTCAAACAAGATTGTCTTGGAAGAAGTGCGACCACAGTTATAGACGCAGAGTTAGTGCAATAAATAATATAATGCCCATTTGTTGAAAGTCTACAAGAGAAAAAAAAAAGAATAGAGAATGATGAGGTGGCAGGCAGGTGGTGTTTGAATGTGGTGGCAGGGAGTGCAGTGAGTGTGAACGTGGGCCAGGACCTGTTATAGGGATTTTTTGGTTATATTGAACGTGAGGAAGTGAGAGGGGCATCTTTTTGGTGATTAGGGGGTTTGTTAGAAATGGAGAGGTCTAGCGCACTGTTAGCCGCCTAGTTATAGGACAAGTGAATCTATATGTTATTGTATTTCCTTTTTGCTGTTCATCAATAATACAATTTCTTTTCTATTAATTGTTCTTCAGCTATATTAGTTATCTGTTTCAGTTCTGGTTCCTATCATAATGGGAATATGGGACATGACCTTGATTCTTTGCTTCTCAATTTGTTGTATTTAATGATTAGTTTTGGCATCTTAACTTACTCATGCTATATTATACATATGGTTCAGGTTACATGGTAATGTTGAAACCATGGCTGTCTTGAGCATTGGAGGTGGTGATGCTTCTAGGAAGAGAGATTCTATAATCTTAACTTTTGCAGATGCCAAGATTTCAGTTCTTGAGTATGATGATTCTATTCATGGACTTCGAACTAGGTGAGTGCATATGTTTAAATTAACTTATGAACAAAATATGCTTTTCTTCTGTTAAATTATGTTCTTTATAGTGCAATATTTGGCTTTGCATTTCTGTGAACTAAAATTGGAAATAATCATTAATGGAAAAATTAGCCTTCAAAATTCTTAATAGTCCCATTAAAAATGGGTTTATCCAACTCTTGGTTACACTCTTACTCTACACATTGTATTCGTATGCTACATGATTGATATTACAAGTGGACATTCTAGTTCAACATGATAGGATGGAAAACGAGGTTGATTCCTCTTATCAAGATGCTTGCTGGATTAGAAAGTTGTATTGAAACCTTTCAATGTGGCCTACTAGGTTCAGTCTAGGTTAGGTATTTTGTAATGTTTGTTTTACTTCAAGGTGTAAAGAGAGAATTTCTTTTTTTACTTTGGTGATATTTTACTGCTGTGATATAAGTCTACTATTGTCTTTTGGAGGACTGGAATGTGGAAGATGTACAGGGCTTGCATAAAGCATGCTGTTGCTATTTCTTTTTCAATGTTGTTTAGGGCCAGGGGTTTTGAATATAACTAAAATTCTACATTTACTTATAGCATACCAGTAGTCAGTTTGAGAATGAGAAGTCAAATCATTTTACTTCAATTTCTTATCTCTTATTCGTCTAAAGGATTTAGCTTACACCTTGTCTGTTACTTGTTTCTACCTGCTAGTTCTTTGCATTGCTTTGAGGGTCCAGAGTGGCTTCACCTGAAAAGAGGAAGAGAACAATTTGCAAGAGGACCGGTGGTTAAGGTTGATCCTCAAGGCAGGTGTGGTGGAGCTCTTATATATGATTTGCAAATGATAATACTAAAGGCTACTCAGGTTTATCCTCTATGCCTTGTGAATTTGAAATACTTTGTTGCATACTACTTATTTGTTTTGTACCTGGTAATTAAAATAATCATTGTTCACTAGAAAGAGAAGGGCTTGCCTAAGATACCCTGTCTCTGCACATGTCTGTCCCTTGAAATATCCATTAGTTCCATAAATGCGGATTCATTATTTTCATGCATCTTCTCTAGTGATTAGGCTTTGGGTTCAAGTTTTAGGTTGTTCACTCATGCTGTTGCAGGTTCTGCTTTAATTTCCTCTTCCTTTCTTCAAGTTGGGATAAGTCTGTCTATTTATACCTGTTTTGAAAGTCCAAGGTTCCAACCAAGGCAATGTATTTCATTCAAATTGCTGTATATAAAAGGATTGATACTAATGATTTGTCGTGGATTGGCATACCACACAATGGTTTCCCTCCATTGTGTTTTGTGCCCTTGTATATCAACGGGTTCTGAGGATGTTTTGGTATCATACCTTCAATTTGCTGATGACTCTGTCCTGTTCTTATAACCAAAAATGCCAATTCTTTTCTTCATTCTCTTTTGATTCTTAGGTTGTTTGAAATTATTTCAGGTTTAAAGATCAACTTTTCAGGGTTAAGCAGTCTTTATCCATTTTTACCCTTTGGTGGGATTTCAATCACTTAATGGCAAGTGACCTATCTAGGAGTTCCTATATGGGTGGTAATTTTGTTGTCCACACTTTAGGAACCTGTCATTTGAATGATTTCCTAATTGTTAGACAATTTGGAGGGTGCTTTCTTCTTCTTATTTTCTTTCAATCTGGATGGGATTCTCTAATTCAGTTGTCTCTGTATAGTATCCAGTGTACTATGTCACTTTATATAGTTTTCACGAATTTCCTATTCTCTTGCATATCTGTCCCTCCTTTGGTCTTAAAAATCGTTCCTTTATAAAAATATCTGTACAGCAGTAACTCAGTTATGGTGAATACTTTTTACTTTTAATATAATTAGGAAAACTGAATTTCCAAAGAGGACTTTTGGAAAAAATTCTTGTGCCATTTTAGTGGTTTTGATTGGACTAGGAATTAAGGCATGCTATTGAAGCAGTGATTTGGTCCTCTAGGTTAGAGAGAATGGCATAATTTTTAGGATAGTGTCTTACCACCATGGTTGACAAAATCGTGATTTGGAACGTAAGATCATATGAAACTACCATCATCTTCTCCTTTTTTGAGTATGTGTCTCATTTGATTGTGATTTTTAGGAATTGCATGGGATCGTTGTTCAAGATCGAGACTTGCATGGGTGTGCAGTGTCTCTACCTGTGTGGGTGCAGCATCGTGTGGGCGGTGACATCTTTGTTGCATGGTGTGGTGATGGCATCACATGAGTGCAACATTTGCATCATTGGGTGTGGTGGCTGCGTTGTGTGGGTGCGGCAGATATTTCTATACTTTTGGTATCTGACTTAAGTATATTTTTTAGACACCCATGCAATTAGGTTAGATCCTCTTCAAAGCCCAATAACCCATTTTTTATACTTTAACACACAATATGCCTTGCTCTTTTAAGTTCCATATTCTCCCACTTATAGCCTAAAAAAATGAGACTTTTCCTCTTCTATTGTGTAAAAGACACGGGTACTTGGACTTTTCAGCACTGCAAATTACAAAAATGAGACTTTTCCTCTCCCTCTTCTCATACATGAACAAGTGTCAATGTAAATTATAATTATTAATTTATTTAATTACTTCCTTCATTTTCTTTCTCCGCCACATTGCTGATTTTAACTTGCAAGATTTTTTGCTTTAGATGGATTATTATTTTGTAACCAGAATAGAATTCCTATTTTGTAACTAATGTTTTGTTATTCTGATACCATGTTAAGGTTCCAACATAAAACCAATTGGCAATATGTGGAGTAGCCTAACATGTATTTAAACCATACCAAATGATATGAGGTAGGCGATGTGGGACTTTCAACACACCCCTCCAACGAAGCCCGCCGGACCAGTGCAAAGGGTACTTTTGACCCAACTAAAGGGCAACTTTTGGCCCATGACAATAACCTGGAAAGATGTTAGGCTTTGGCTCGATACCATGTTAAGGTTCCAACATAAAACCAATTGGCAATATGTGGAGTAGCCTAACATGTATTTAAACCATACCAAATGATAGAGGTAGGCGATGTGGGACTTTCAACACACCCCCTACAACGAAGCCCGCGACCGTGCAAAGGGTACTTTTGACCCAACTAAAGGACAACTTTTGGCCCATGACAATAACCTAGGAAAGATGTTAGGTTTTGGCTCGATACCATGTTAAGGTTCCAACATAAAACCAATTGGCAATATGTGGAGTAGCCTAACATGTATTTAAACCATACCAAATGATATGAGGTAGGCGATGTGGGACTTTCAACACACCCCCTTCAACGAAGCCCGCCGGACCAGGCAAAGGGTACTTTTGACCCAACTAAAGGGCAACTTTTGGCCCATGACAATAACCGGAAAGATGTTAGGCTTTGGCTCGATACCATGTTAAGATTCCAACATAAAACCAATTGGCAATATGTGGAGTAGCCTAACATGTATTTAAACCATACCAAATGATATGAGGTAGGCGATGTGGGACTTTCAACACACCCCTCCAACGAAGCCTGCTCGGACCAGTGCAAAGGGTACTTTTGACCCAATTAAAGGGCAACTTTTGGCCCATGACAATAACCTGGAAAGATGTTAGGCTTTGACTCGATACCATGTTAAGGTTCCAACATAAAACCAATTGGCAATATGTGGAGTAGCCTAACATGTATTTAAACCATACCAAATGATATGAGGTAGGCGATGTGGGACTTTCAACACATCTATTGACTTACTACTTTTTGTGCTTATTATATTTTTATTTGCTTATCCTATTCAATTGAAGTTTAAATGCATATATATATTTATATATCCTGATTTATGATATATACTTCTCTTTTGATCACGAGTAAGATCTCAATTTTGACTGCCTTGCTTACCACCATTATACTCCTTTAGATAAGTTGGTTGTCTTGCTTAGCAAGTAATATTAGGCATATTAATGCAGAAGAAGAATGGGATCCAATCTAAGGCACATTAACGGGTTTCCTGACCTGTTGTTTAATAATTTTCAATTAAGAAACTATGATGCAAACGTGTTGTAACCCAGCATTCCATTCTGCAATACACTTAACATTTAAAATCAATTGTGATTCATTTTGTTATTATATTACTCTTGCACAAATTTCTTTATCAATTATATTTTTTGTTGTCTTTTAATCTTTTATTCTTGGATTATCATTGTCAGGCTGGTTCTGGTTTAGTTGGGGATGATGATGCCTTGGGATATTCAGGAGCAGTTGCTGCACGTATTGAGTCATCTTATATGATAAACCTACGGGACTTGGATATGCGCCATGTAAAAGATTTTACATTTGTTCATGGTGAGTGTAGGAGAATGTTGATATTTGTAGTCTTGTCTCTTTTATGCATTTATATATGGTAAAAATATAAGTAGTAGCTTTTCATGAGATGGAAATTTAGATGTAGTTTTTGATAAAAATGGAATCAAGGGTATGATCGGTACATAAATATTAAAAGTTTCTATAAATATATGGTATTCTTGTTTCTTTTCTAATTTTGCGGGGTGGTGGAGGAATAGAAATTTGGGCCTAAACCAAAAGCTATAAAATTAAAGGAAAAATAAACCACCTTTGGTAATGATGTCTCGCTACATCAGCAGTCATGAGCATGGATGATCTCTATATGGGACATGAACCACATTAAATTCGGGACAAAGTTACTGGGTCCAGTTTATGAGTCATCCTGCAAATTTATTTCCTTCACAGTTAAATTGAGCTCATAACTTTCATACAACCATAAAAAAATGACAAAAAGAGATAGCCTGTGTCAGTGTCACTGAACCTTGTCTTAGTACAAAAAATAATAAAAATTATGCCTGTAAGTTTGAAAGGTGACGATTGACATTCAATGAAAATTTAGGGTGCATTAGTCAATGTTTATTAAATAAGCTCTTGTCACATTAAAGCTTATATCATAAGTTTAATCGTGAAACTTGATGAAATAAGCTAAAGAGAGTTTATTTTGATAAGTTTCACTGAGAAGAACATTTAAAAAAGCTAGAAGGAGCTTATAGGAGTCCTAGTTATATCCATAAGCCCAGATAAGTTTTGAATGATCTCTTCCAAACACCAACACACCACCTCAGTTGTAAATAAATCGTATAATTTGTTTTGGATGGCAATGGTGATACGTCTTAACATGGAATTTCAGAATTTTTTAAACTCTAATGCCTTGTTTGGTTGTGAAGAGAGAAATAAAGGAAATAGAGATAAAGAAGAAATGAGTTTAGAAAAGAGATAATGTAAGAAATACAATTGAATGTTTAATTGTTTGGTAGAGTGGAAATAAGTGAGGAATAGACAAAAAGTTTTTTAAAAACGTGAGAAATAATTAAATGGGTCCCACCTCTTTTCAAACTTGTTTCTTCTCTGTTCTTTACCCAACAAACACACCACATTATTTCTCTCCCTCCCCATCCTTCTCTCTCCACTCAGCCGAACAAGGCAAATGGATTTGCACATTCATTTTTATTTAATAATCAATTAATAACATTTATTTTCTATATGTGTGTATTTAATTCATTCATACCCTCAGGAAAGAGACCAACTTTACTTTGTGATTATAATACATGGTTCAAATGTATAATAAGCATTTATTGTGTTTGTGCACAATAAAGTATTGACTGTTGGTTTGGTTAAAATGACGAGTTTCTTAAATTTATTTCCTGTTTGCTATTTGGTAGCCTTCTTTTATAATTTCAATACTTATTAGTGTTGTTTCTGGATCAAAAACTGAGTTTTATAATTTGCAATCACAATTTAAAGTCAAAATGTAATGGATTGTGATTCTGGTGCTTTATTGCACTTGTATATCTATTTTCTTTGTCTGAAAGGGATATTAATATACTTAACTTAGTGTTATTTTTATTTAATGAGTATTGATTTAACTTGTAGGCTATATTGAACCTGTAATGGTTATTTTACATGAACGAGAGCTCACTTGGGCTGGGCGTGTCTCATGGAAGCATCATACTTGCTCGATATCAGCACTTAGTATCAGCACAACATTGAAGCAGCATCCACTTATTTGGGCAGCTGCTGTAAGTTCAATGTAGATGCCTTGGTGGCACTTCAATGTGATTTCAAATCTGACAATGTGCAAAATGAAGATTTTTTAAAACCCCCCTCTCGCTTCTTCTCTCTCGATATCTATGTTAAACTGAAGTGTTTTAGGTTATGGCTGGTTTATTAACCTCCTTATTGGCGGTTGCTATCTATTTGTTTTTTATTTAGAATTTTCTTTTCATTATATACATTTTCGGTTTTGTTTGCACTTAACCAGTAGGCAAACATACTTAGTCTAACTAATAGTGTCTATTATATTGTTTAAATCATTTTTATTTAACTTGTAGGCAAACAAAAGTGAATGTGAGTAATGGTGGTGTCTATTATATTGTCTTTTTAACAATTTGCCACCTCTCCGATGTTAGAACTCTTTAGTAAGTGGCTAATCAAAGTGTCCGCCGAGATCTTATAGTTTAAATAATATTTCTTCATGAAAATCATATGTATCTCTCAACCCCAGCATGTTTTAACTTTTGTTGATTGTTTTCCCCACTATTTGACACTTTAAACTGTTTTTGTAAATTTGTCTGTTGTATTGATTTTGCTAGAATCTCCCCCATGATGCATACAAGCTTCTTGCGGTGCCCTCGCCAATAGGTGGTGTTCTTGTAATTGGTGCTAACACTATTCATTATCACAGTCAGGTAAATGCATTGCCTATGCATAATTGTGCGGTGTCTCCTCAATTTTTATTAATTGTGAAGATATTTAATTGTATTTTTGTGTGAATTTGTATTTTTGCATTTTACAGTTTTGGTTTACAAGATATTGGGAATAATCTAATTATAGAGTTTGTTTTTTCAGTCTGCTTCTTGTGCATTGGGCGTGAACAGCTATGCTGTTTCACTTGACAATAGGTGGCGATTCCTTCTCTGTCATATACTCTTCATATAGAAGGAAATAACATTCTAGGCATTAGTTCTTTCAGTTGTTTGACATTACCTCTCATTTTTCATACTCTGGTTTGACATCCCCTTATGCACATTAATTAATTTCCTCATATTGTATTTGGATGTGAACTTTTATAACCCGGATTACCTTCCTTTTGCTATTTCCAGTCAAGAGATACCAAGATCAAGTTTCAATGTGGAGCTTGATGCTGCCAATGCAACTTGGTTGTTGAATGATGTGGCCTTGCTGTCTACAAAAACTGGCGAACTGTTATTGCTTACACTTGTTTACGATGGAAGGTTTGCTGCTTTTCCTTTTGATCTCCTTCATTCACATTCTTTATGTTTGTGGGTCATACTTTTATTTAAACTGATGTGGAATTAGATTTTAAGATTGAGTGTACACTCCAACTGACATGTAATAGTAATGTCTTCTACATGCATAAATTTGAATCTTAGTTTTGTTAGTGCTCCAGATAAATTTTTAGCATCACGAGTCTTTCAGTGTTTTGTAGTCTATTCCTCTCTTTTTTTCATTCTATCCCTGTTTTTTTTGTCATTCTATCATCTCATGCTACTTTTCTTGACCCAACAGTTTTAATTTTTTTCATCAAATGAAGAAAAAGTAGTTAAGTTTTTAAATTTGGTCTATAGTAGATGGGTAGATGGAAATCAATTTGAAGAATTCTAGAGTGACATCGTGATTGAAGAAGAGTAGCAACAATTTTTGCATTTCCATTTGCTCAAGACATTACTAAACACAATTATGATAGAACCTCCTATATACAAAATCAACTAATAATTTTTTCTCATTTTCAGGGTTGTACAGAGACTCGATCTTTCGAAGTCAAAAGCTTCAGTTCTATCATCTGTAAGTTTCAAAATTCTCCATCTGATGTGTTAATGCTGTTATAGATCAAATCTAACCTTTGCAGATTAATTTTCATATTAACTGTAGTTTTTCCTGTATCTACATTAATATAGGGTATTACGACAATTGGAAATTCTTTGTTTTTTCTAGCCAGTCGGTTAGGGGACAGTATGCTGGTGCAATTTTCTTGTGGATCAGGTTCAATGTTGTCATCTAACCTAAAAGAAGAGGTATGTAAAGGTTGTCTTGAATTTCTCTTCTAGTTAATTATGATAGATAATTTTAAAGCCATTTGTTTCAGTAGATGCAAATATGCTGTTCAAGTTGAGGTTTTTTTTTTTGTTCTATAAATATTTCAAGCAGACTTGCTGCATCTTTTTCCGTTACTTATGTGTTCTCTATCAGTGAAGTCATTTATAAAATATTCCCCTGCAATTTTTTAAAGGTTGGTGATATTGAAGCAGATGCTCCATCAAAGAGATTGCGGAGGTCACCTTCTGATACTTTGCAAGATATGGTTAGTGGTGAGGAGCTCTCCTTGTATGGATCTGCTCCAAATAGAACAGAATCAGCACAGGTAGTGTCTTCATATGGATAGAGGAAATGTCTCAGGAGATTAAGTGGTCATGTTAATGTCTTTTATTTGTTTATAGATACATGCCTTCTTCACATTTCTGTGTATTTACTGAAATTCTTTTACATATTAAACATACTGAACTAGTTAAATAGTTATATTTTCGCTGCAGAAATCCTTCTCGTTTGCAGTGAGGGATTCATTGATTAATGTTGGTCCTTTGAAAGATTTTTCATATGGTTTAAGAATAAATGCTGATGCAAATGCTACAGGGATCGCCAAACAGAGTAACTATGAATTGGTTAGTAAATTTTATGTGTATTTGGTTTTTTAATCTGAGCTCTATTACTTTTGCTTTGATAGCAAAAACAGGTTGGGAAGTGAAAGCCATCTGCCTATATAATACTAGTATTCCATAAGGGTTTGTTTATATTATGTTTATCGTAGTATAGTTCCACTCAAATAATTCTTGATTTACATATTGAACCACCTATGCAGGTGTGCTGTTCTGGTCATGGAAAGAATGGTTCTTTGTGTGTTCTGCGGCAATCAATTCGTCCAGAAGTGATTACTGAGGTTTGTCCATGGTTTTCATTGGTGGGACATGATATATGAATAATTTAAGTTTTTCTTTACATCAATTTCCAAAACTACTGCCACTTTAATTTTTATATTTTATCAATACAATTGCAAAATAAATCCATTATCATTAGATAGATCAAACATTTGACTGGGATATACTACTTTCACCCACCTAGTTGATTTTTAGCAATGTGCTGAATGTTCTGAAAAGAATTTCATGATTTATGAATCAATTTCTGATTTACAAAATCTTGTAAATGGGATGCAAGATTCATAATTTTTTTTTCATAATGTATGATTTCAGGTTGAACTTCCTGGTTGCAAAGGAATTTGGACTGTGTATCATAAGAGCACACGTGCTCTTAATACTGATTCTTCTAAGCTGACTGACGATGACGATGAGTATCATGCTTATCTTATTATTAGTTTGGAGGCTCGTACAATGGTAATTTCAATATTCAGTTTTTGAAGGATTAGCTATGATATGAGTAAATGTCTAATAAGTTTTGATTTTAATGCTATTTGTGGATAGCCATTCTACTCAAATCATTTGGGGGTGAGGAATTTAAATATTACATCAGTGCCTAACTAAAATGGTAGGAGGTTCAATCAGGCTCCTAATATGGGTATATAGTTGCCAATCTATGACATTAGTAGCAGTTCCTATTAATACTGGGTTTCAGAGATAATTCTATACTTATATGTATATACATGATGTCAAGTATTTTATAAACTTGTATATTGACGCATAACTTATTTCTAAACTTTCTTTGATTTTTTTATATTTTTATTATTAATTTTCTTAAATGGAAATTACAGCATCGATATTTTTTCCTCTATATTTTATTCACTCACCCTCCTCCATGCCTTTGTCATCTCTATTTTTGTCTCTGTTGGTTGAGTAGTGCCAGATTGGTTTTCTTTATCCTTTGCTCTTTGGGAAGCAGGACAAATGAGGGGTGAACGATTTAACACTTGAAAATTGGGTTTCTTTGGTGAATTAAGTATTGCAAGATTGGAATTGAAAGTTCACTACTGTGTTTTTAGAGAAGTTCAGTTTGCTGGCAATGGAGCCGATGAATTTGGATTTTGATAGTTATAGTAAATTGAAGGGAAAACACTATCACAGGCATGATCAAATACCTAATTTATGGATTATAAAAGAAAATTAAGTAAAACAATCCGTTGTTTGTTACAGCAGCATATCAAGCTTCAGAGTCAATTTTTAGCTTCAAAAGTTGGCTGGACTGAGGCTTTATTCTTGCTTTGAAGCTCCTCTCCCTGATGTGTGATCTCTTTGTATTACAAAATTAAATGATACTAGTATGTTATTGTTTACATAACAAAGTTACTTCTGTTTTTTTGGCCATTTACAATTAGGTACTAGAAACAGCTGATCTTCTGAGTGAGGTTACTGAAAGTGTAGACTATTATGTTCAAGGAAAAACACTTGTAGCTGGAAATTTATTTGGAAGGTGGGTCTTTATTTGTTGGTTACTGATGTTTCTCTAAGAATAAAATTGAAAGATGAATTATAATTTTACATTCTGTTTGCTGATCTTAACCATTTTGGCATGTGTACTATGTATCTTGATTTATACCCTGTTATCCAGTCCAATGTCATGTCATAATTTTCCATTCAGTTTATTTTAAATTAAAATTATAGAAATATAACTGATGTAGTCTTCGTTTTATTTGTAGGCGTCGAGTTATCCAAGTCTATGAACGAGGTGCTCGAATTCTAGATGGTTCTTTTATGACCCAAGATGTAACCTTTGGACCTTCAAATTCAGAATCTGGTTCTGCATCTGAGACGGCTATAGCTCTTTCTGTTTCTATAGCTGATCCATTTGTCTTACTCAGAATGAGTGATGGAAGTATTCGACTTCTGATTGGAGGTAAACTTTTGGTTAGTTATTTTTGTTCAAATAGATTTCATTTAAGTTCCCCCTTCATAGTTCTCCTAAGCTTTGTCCTTTCTGTCAGCTATATTCTTGCATTCCTAGTGGTGCTTATTTTCATTATTTTGCACCTATAATCAAGGATTGAGTAACATGGTGTGAGCAGCTTTTGAGCTCTTCTCTTTTCACAATTTTTTTTTCCATGTCATTTCAATTTACAGATCCTATTACCTGCACCATTTCTGTCACTTCTCCAACTTCATTTGAGAGCACCAAGGGATCAGTTTCTTCATGCACACTGTACCATGATAAAGGACCTGAGCCTTGGCTGAGGAAGACTAGTACTGATGCATGGCTTTCTACTGGTGTTGGTGAGGCTATTGATGGCACTGATGGTGCAGCTCAGGACCATGGGGATATTTATTGCGTTGTTTGTTTTGATAATGGTAGCCTTGAAATATTTGATGTGCCCAATTTCAATTGTGTCTTTTCTGTGGAAAATTTTATGTCTGGAAAGAGCCATCTTGTTGATGCTCTGATGAAAGAGGTACCAAAAGATTCTAAAAAAGGGGATAGAGATGGAGTGGTCAGCCAAGGGAGGAAGGAAAATGTACCAGACATGAAGGTAGTAGAGTTGGCCATGCAGAGGTGGTCTGGGCAACATAGCCGTCCATTTCTTTTTGGAATTTTGAGTGATGGAACTATTCTTTGTTACCACGCTTACCTTTATGAAAGTCCAGATGGTACTTCTAAAGTTGAGGATTCAGTATCAGCAGGAGGATCCATTGGCCTTGCTACTACCAGTGTTTCTAGGCTTAGAAATTTGAGATTTGTTCGTGTGGCCTTGGATGCATCTGCCAGGGAGGAGACATCTAATGGATCTTCTCGTCAACAAATTACTATTTTCAAGAATATTGGTAGTTATCAAGGATTCTTCCTATCAGGGTCAAGACCAGCTTGGGTCATGGTGCTGAGGGGACGGCTTCGTGTTCATCCACAGGTCTGAACAAATAATCGATTATGTAATTATATCCATTAAGTGTTTGTGATATATTTCTTTCTAGATTTGTTGGGGATACCTGTGATGAACATTTTAAATTGTATAACTTCATTGTAATTGGTATATTCAAATAAGTTGGACTAGGCAATTACAATAATTTAGATGTTGTTAACTTAATAGGCTCTGGAGTAGGCTCTACTACCAGTTTCAATTTCAAGTTCCATTTACCAGCTGATCAGACTGCATATTATGTTTGAACCATCATGGATCAGCTATCATTTGATGACTGCATTTTCTTGCTTGCTTGATTTTACTTCCTTAATGTACATTATAATTCATTTTTTTTTAATGTTTTTTATACAGAAGAATTTTGAAAAATTATCTTACTGTTGTCTTCTATGTCAGCTATGTGATGGATCTATTGTTGCTTTTACTGTTCTTCACAACGTGAACTGCAATCATGGACTTATATATGTTACATCACAGGTACAGAATGATACTTTGTTTTTATAGATAAATTATCAGCAATTAGATCTATATTTATGGCTACCTTTTTTTAATTTGATCTTCTCTATAGGGTGTTTTGAAGATATGCCAGTTGCCTTCTGGCTCAAACTATGACAGCTGCTGGCCTGTACAAAAAGTTAGCTTTCTTCTGCTCAAAATATGAAATCTAGATTTTCTACCTTATTTTGGTTGGACCTTTTTAATTTGTTATATCATTCTTAGATTCCACTAAAAGCCACTCCACACCAAGTAACATATTTTGCGGAGAAGAATTTATATCCACTTATCGTCTCATTTCCTGTAAGTACACATCCTTTTTTTTGTTTAATTTGCCAGAAATGTTGAAGAGCATAATTGTTAGACATACAAGGTTGTATAATTCTTACTCATTTAATAATAATTACAAGAATTTATTGTGGCTGGTGTCTTAAACATTATCGTAAATTGAATCAGCTTATTTTCAGACTCTTTTTTTTTCTTGCAGCTTGTGAAAAAGCTTTTGATACAAAATATAGTTATTTTGCTGATAAGCTAGAACAAAGATGTCAAATATTTTTAATAATGCAAGCATTTATAATCACTGACAGGTGGTACATGAAATTATTTCCTACTTTTTCCATTAGCTTGTGTCGTGATTAATAATTATGTTCTATCTTGTCCATGTATTCCTTATTATACAACAAAATATACATTTGGGATTTTCTTATGAAGTAATAACTAGTTTATTAATTTTGCTCCGTAGTTTAACCCATCTTTGCATTTCAATATTTGTGACTAAAATATGTTGGTTTTATTTTTCTTTTATGGCCTGGTGCTAATTATTTTTTTTTTCCTTCATGAATAAATTGATCTGTTTATTATTGTAATTTAGAAGAAGCAACTCGGTTGATTGCTTTTTAGTGTTTAGTCACAGATTTTTATTGAGAAAGTGATGCTACATTTTAATAATTCTCATCAGGTTCTTAAACCATTAAATCAAGTTATTTCTCTGGTTGACCAAGATGCCAACCATCAGAATGAGAGTCAGAATATGAATTCTGATGATCAAAACCGGTTTTATCCTATTGATGAATTTGAGGTTCGAATTATGGAGCCAGAAAAGTCTGGTGGCCCTTGGCAAACAAAAGCCACAATACCTATGCAAAGTTCTGAAAATGCCCTTACTGTGAGGATGGTCACTCTGCTGGTAATGCTTTTTCCTTCAGTTTTCAAATGAGATGTTGATTGCTGCTGATGCTTATAAATTTCTCTATAAAATCTATCTTTATTGTAGAATACAACCTCAAAAGAAAATGAAACACTTTTAGCCATTGGTACTGCTTATGTGCAAGGAGAAGATGTTGCTGCAAGAGGACGTATCCTCCTGTTTTCTTTGGGGAAAAATACTGATAATCCACAATCTCTGGTATCCATATGAATGCTCTCTTAAAAAAGTGACCAAAATTGTGTCCCTTCACTCTAGATTTGGGTGCTGCCTTTTTTTGGACCCTATCATAAATATCCTTCTTCTTTACAGGTTTCAGAGGTGTACTCTAAGGAATTAAAAGGTGCTATATCTGCCTTGGCCTCACTTCAGGGCCATCTATTAATAGCCTCTGGTCCAAAAATTATTCTGCACAAGTGGAATGGCACTGAGTTGAATGGTATTGCATTTTTTGATGCACCGCCGTTACATGTTGTGAGCTTAAATATTGTAAGTGATAGTTCATTAAATCTTTTATTTAATACAGTGTTGAAATGTGACGGAGGAACAAATAACATGAGAAACACAGCTAATTGTATGTTATCAAATGATTAATTGTCCCCTGTCCTGATTAATAATTCTAATAATTTTGGTAGGTAAAGAATTTCATCCTTATTGGCGACATCCATAAAAGCATATACTTTCTTAGTTGGAAAGAGCAGGGTGCTCAGTTGAGCTTATTAGCCAAAGATTTTGCTTCTCTTGATTGTTTTGCGACGGAATTTTTGATTGATGGAAGTACTCTCAGTCTCATGGTTTCAGATGATAAAAAAAATATCCAGGTTTGTCTTAAGATTACATGGTAATTTCTTGTTTTCATTTGCTTGTTGTAATGTGCTTTTACTTTTTAAAGTTATCTCTGGCAAATAAAATGTTGTTCTTCTAATTGAAAATTTGTTCTAGTACATAATATGAACTATATAAGAATTGCATATTGTTTTTTTTTGGCTCATGTCTAGGAATTTCTATTATTCTGTATGTATGGTCCTTTTCCAGTTTAATTTCCATTGGAAGGTTCATATTGACTAAAGACTAAGCTGTCTTTGTAATTGGGATTTACCCCTATTTAGTCTTGAGGCAAGATGCTTCCAATTCCCAGGCAGAAAATTGTATATCAGAGATATAAAATTTTACAGTCTTCAGTCCAGATTTCTTCCAATGGACCCAGTAAAATAATAGTCCCTAATACTAACTGGCATCAAACCATATTCTTCCCCCAAAATCGTAAGATGAATCTGCAATATAAATTTTCTATCTCTTATAAACAATTTTGCCAGATAAAATATAAATCTGTAAAATCTACAGTAATAATGAACAACGATGTGCAGTTTGTGAGGTCCCAGTCTCCAACACTGATATGGTTGGACTGTATCTGCCTTTGATCTTAGCAACAGCTAGAATCAGTGTACCCTATAAGCTGCTGCCGATGTTGGCCAAGGTAGTTGTGCTTCTTGATCTCCCATTTAGAAAAATTCACCAAGGGTAGCTTAACCTCAACGTATTCTTTCCCCTCAGTTCTTTCCCTATATATGTTTTGGTGCTTGTTCATTTATTTCTCTTATGTATTCCTAAGCAGTTTACCTTCTTTCTGTTTATACATTTTTTTATCCTACAATCAGTGTACCCTATAGGCTGCAGGCAATGTTGGTCAATGTAGCTTTTTTTCTTGATGTCCCATTTAGAAAAATTCACTAAGTATAACATAACATGAAAGTATTCCTTCCGCTCAGTCTTTCCTTATTTTTATTTTGGTGTTCGTCTATTTACCTTATTTCTCTTGGTTAAAATTTTGACTGGTTAATGTTTACTGGGATTTCTTATACTCCTACGCAATTACCTTCTTTCAACATGAATTATTTTTTTCCAAAAATCAGAAAGATTGCTTCTTTTTTGAAAAATTGAAAGCTATTGTCTGAAAAATAGAATTACCATTTTTTTTTTTTTTTTTTTTAATTTATTATCTTGTCCTTTTTGCGACATAAGTCTTTGAAATGTATAATGCGCAGATTTTTTATTATGCACCAAAGATGTCTGAGAGTTGGAAAGGACAGAAGCTTCTTTCAAGAGCTGAATTTCATGTTGGTGCCCATGTGACTAAATTCTTAAGGTTGCAAATGCTATCCACTTCGGATAGAGCTGGTTCAGCTCCAGGCTCAGATAAAACCAATCGTTTTGCCTTATTATTTGGAACCTTGGACGGCAGTATTGGTTGCATTGCTCCTCTTGATGAAATCACATTTCGCAGACTGCAGTCTTTGCAGAAAAAGCTTGTTGATGCTGTACCCCATGTTGCTGGCCTAAACCCCAGAGCTTTCAGACAATTTCGGTCAAATGGAAAAGCTCATCGGCCGGGCCCAGACAGTATAGTTGACTGTGACCTGCTTTGCCAGTAAGTTTTATCTTCAGCCAGTATTACTGTATGGGGTACTGAGAAATGGATATTAAACTGAGTCTGACTAAAAAAATTAAATAAAAAGGTAGTTAGTTACTCTATATGTTGAAACATTGCGATTTGCATCCAGAAATTTACGACCCCAAGAAATGCATAAAACTTGTGTACTTCCAAACAGAAATGGGATGAATAGTGGAGAATAAACAAAAGTAACAATTCAAGAAAATCTTGGTAAATTACATCACTTGCTTAATCTTTCTATAAACAGCGAATGCGGTGCAAAGCTATATCTTGTACTTACAAACCTATTTCAGATATTTACTATTTCCCTACCTGTTTTACTAATATGCGGCTTCTTTGTTACAGTTATGAAATGCTTCCTTTGGAGGAACAGCTTGAAATTGCTCACCAGGTTGGGACAACTCGATCACAAATTCTCTCAAATCTAAGTGATCTGTCTCTTGGAACAAGCTTCTTGTAAACTCGGTCATCTTTTGTAGATCAAGGATCAGTGCTGCCCATATTTTCCCAAGCTCTTAGCATCTGTTTATTTTGATTCGATTAGGTCTTATTATCAGAATTAAATGCATGTGTCGAAAGCTTGGTTAAGTTATTAGATCATAGCCTAACTCTTACTGCACTTGGAAACAGTGAAAGCAGACAGTTGTTGGATAGGATGTCCATAATTGATCCCAATGGATGTCTCATACTCTGTATTCTGTAAATTAGAGGTCAAATTGCCTTGTGACTGTCCTTGAACTATAGTCATATAGACCTTGTATTAGGGAGTCTGTTTGATGCCCTCCTAATGGACGACGTGGATGTAACATGAATTTTGTTCCCCTAAAGAAACAGGTAGGAAACATAACCCCACTAGAAAGCCAGATATTCTTCTGTATCTCAGCATTCAGAGGTAAATGTAATTATTATTATTATTATTATTATTATTATTATTATTATGGCTAAGTTGCAAATGACATTTTAATCTGTCATGGGTGTGGGATACAGAAGTTGGTTTGGTGGTAGAAGTGGAAGAAAGGGAAGGATACATCATGGTTCAAATTTTCCTATTATCGAAAATTAACATATTATTTATTGAAATAGAACATAGCAATCTATCAAAATCTTATTTACAGTTAATATTTAATCCATGTAATAAAAGGCAGAGGCTGCTGAAATGCTAGCACTGATTTCATGCTATAAGAGGAAAACAAATGATTTGATAGATAAGGTTACTCCAATTGTAACTCTCTAGACCACGCACCAGCACCTTTTCTTCCATGCTCCTCTCATGACAAGAAAAAACAAAAAAGGATGATTGGATGCCACCAATTATGTCCCACTATTATGAATATGAATCTCCAATCTCTTTGGGGTCTCAATTACAAATTACAGAATGAAAATGATTCCATTGACTCACCATGTAAATAAGAGTTATATCATTTTACAACCTCTTATCTAAGCCTCTCTTTTTTTTATCTCTTTTTCATTACATCACTAGTTTTATTACATACACATTTTTCAACATTTTTTCATATCTACAGTAACCATGAACATTGAAACATCGCCACTTGAAATTAACACAGTTCGGGTTGCAGTTATTGCCATCGTTCTCCGTAAAGTTTTCCTATCGTTACTGTCCCTACAAAGTTTAATGTTTATACAATTTTACATTATCAATTAATTATAAAGAGTAAAAAATATTATTATTTAGATAATCATTATAAAATCAACCTTTTTATCGTATATAACAATTCTGATTAGATTAGATGATAATATTAGCTTTGTACAGTGTTGGTGCGTTTTAATTTAATTTAATTTTTTTATTAGTATTTATCCCAAAAACTTTGCCAATAAAAAGCAAGTATATATGTATTTTACGTTTGAAGCAAAGTGAAGAAAAAGTTAACTCTCTCTACAGTATTTAATCCATGTATTATTATTGCACGTGTAAACACTACATACATGCAACCCACACAAACATGCTTTAGCAATGCAGTGTTTCAGAGATGTTGAAGCCGTTAACCTAATTAAAGTTGAAAGTGAAAGTGGGAAGGATCTAACTCCACATTTCTAGTATTAATCAAATCAACATGATGATGCTGTTCAACTCAGGATAACACAACTCTTCCAATTTGTTGGCAAATTCTTTGTCGGCACTATCCATTTGTTGATCACACACCATTACTTCAACACGCAAGTGATAGTGAGTTAGGCAGCTTCGGATTGCAATTGTGTAAATCCTATCAGAAATTCTTCCTCATTCTACACACACTCATCATTATAATCTTTGGAAATTTATATAGATACATTCTGTGATCTTTTCAAATTCTACTCATTCTTTTTTCTCCATTTAATCACTTGAAACACATACACTAACATTTCTTATAATTAACTTATATACTCTCGTTTTTTTCTTTTGAATCAACCTTATAAAGTTTTGTAAAAAGAATATCATTATCCTATCAGAAAAAGCAAAAACTAATAATAGGTTAGACCTACTTTTGTAATAACAAATTTTTGTCCAAAAGAAAATGATGTTTCAGTGTAAATAATACTGTGAGTTTATGCCGACAATATGATGCAACAATGATATACATTTCTTGCCAACATATATAATTCTCTTAGTTACTATACATCCATCCATTTTTAATAACAATTAGCGAGGATTAGTGGTGAATTCATAACTACTACTTTTATCATTAGTTTTAATGAATGAAGTAACTAATTTCAAACGTTTGGTGGAAATTAGTTTCAGAGTCTTATATTGGTTTGATACGTTATTAAGGTTCATGGTTCTGGTACGTGAAGAAGATGGATTCTAAGAGCAAGATTTGTCCCAATGTGTGTGGAGTGTTGTGGGAAACGTGATGGAAAAGGAAAAGAAAATACACAAGTCTGAAGGCATGGACGTAACCATTTTAATTTGAATTAGAGAAAAAGCAGAAAACTCAATTAGGTTACTTTATAAACAACAATCATTTTCATGGAGAAGTAGGGTGGCTGAGGATGGAACAATTGATGGTGTTATGTGTGGATGGAGTCTCCTTTGCCACCTTTTCTTCCCAACCTCCTCACAATTAGTTTCTTTTCTGGACCTCTTAATTACACTTTTAGCTACACAAACCTTTTCATCTTTCTCACACATGTACGTTTGGTACAAGCATTCAAAATCTTATACTATTTTTAGTGTTAACATAAAATCATAGAGTTTACATAAATTAGACCACAAAAATCATAGAGTATAATACTACAAAAATTAGACAAAATATTTTAATTACATTAAATATAAATAGTTTTCCTACTAATTATATGAAAATATTTTTTTTTATTATTATTAAGTTAGAATCTGTTTCCTGTTAGGAACAAGACAATAATTAGTCAGAGCGCAACTCTTTTTACTTTAACAGCCCAAGCGCCACGATTCAATTGTGACTCGGCCCACCTGACCTTCGTCACAGGACAATTGATGCTACCTGCAACAATCTCCCCCTCAGCAATTGTCCTACAAGGTATCCCACTCTTGGATTGTGACTTGGCCCACCCGGCCTCTGCCACGGGACAATTGTGCAACCTGCAACAATCTCCCCCTCAACAATTGCCCACCAGGAATCGAACTCGTGACCTTGGCTCTGATACCAATTGTTAGGATCGAGCGCTTACCACTAGGCCAAAAGCTATAACCATTAGTCAGAGCGCAACTCTTTTTACTTTAACAGCCCAAGCGCCACGATTCAATTGTGACTCGGCCCACCTGACCTTCGTCACAGGACAATTGATGCTACCTGCAACAATGTTCTCTTCCTAATTCTTTTAGAAGGTTCTTCAACCATATCATCTCCTTCGCTGCTTCTGAGATAGCTACATACTCTGCTTCAGTGGTTGAGAGAGAGACCCTTCCTTGAAGTTTAGACTTCCAACTGATAGCTGTACCACCCAATGTAAAAATATAACCTGTTGTGCTCTTTCTACCGTCAAGATCACCTCCCAAGTCTGCATCAGAAAACCCCTGTAAAATGAGATTACTTCTCTTGAAAGACAAATGCATCTTTGAAGTGCCTTTCAAATATCTGAATATCCATTTCACTCCTTCCCAATGCTCCTTTCCGGGATTTGATAGAAATCTGCTCACAACTCCCACTTGCATGTGCTATGTGCAGTGCGGTGCAAACCATAGCATACATCAAGCTTCCTACTGCGAGATGCATATGGCACTTTAGACATGTGGCTTTCTTCTTCTTCGTTTGAGAAGATTGCCTCTTTGAAAACTTTAAGTGAGTTCCCAAAGGTGTATTCCTGGTTTTAGCATTCCCAACATTGAATCTGCTAAGCAATTTTTCTATATATTTTTCTTGAGATAAGTTCAAAATACCTTTATCTCTATCTCGGGAGATTCTCATACCAAGAATTTGCTTGGCTGGACCAAGATCCTTCATTTCAAAGCTCTCCGACAATTGTTTCTTCAACTTGTCAATTTACGCCATATTAGCTCCAACAATCAACATGTCGTCAACATATAAGGCAAGAATGATATAGCTATCAACATATTTCTTCACATAACAACGGTGATCTTCTTCACATCTGCGAAATCCTGAGTTTCTCATAAACTCATTAAACTTCTTGTACCATTGTCTCGGCGCTTGTTTTAATCCGTACAAACTTTTATGAAGCTTGCATACAAGATTTTCTCCGCCTTGTACTTCAAAACCTTTTGGTTGTGTCATAAAAATTTCCTCTTCAAGATCCCCATGTAAGAATGCGAGTTTTGACATCTAAGCTGCTCCAAATGAAGATTTTCAGCAGCTACTTATACTCAAGATAACTCGATGGTAGTCATCTTGACAACGGGAGAGAAAATTTACGTGAAGTCAATTCCTTGTCTTTGTTGGAACCCTTTCACTACGAGTCTAGCCTTATATCTTTTGCTTGTCATCTGGTTCTTCTTTCAACCTATAGACCCACTTGTTTTGCAAAACTTTCTTTCCTTCGGTAGCTTGGTTAAAGACCATGTTTTATTCTTCGAAGGGACTTTATCTCATCTTCCATTGCTAGCTCCCACTTAATAGATTCATCTCCATGCATAGCCTCGGCAAAATGCTCGGCTCACCGACATCGATCAACAACAAATAATGCAATGAAGGGGAATACCTTTGTGGTGCTACAATTGTTACTGCTAGATCTTCTAACCAAGATTTCGGGAGTTCTTGACTCTACTATTTGTTCGGGTTACGTCTCGAGGCTCGACATAGGCTCTACTTGTATATTACGCCTTCGGTTGACTACATCACTTTACGAAATTTCTTCTAATGATACTTGCTCTAGATGTTTATTTACATTTGCAGATTCTGCAATCTCGTCTCTATAGAACATGTTTTCATTAAAAGTAACATTTCTACTTCGATAATTTTCTTGTTTTGGTCATCCCAAAACACTGTAGCCAAACATGTCGGATCCATAACCAATGAAATAACAACGTTTTGCCTTAGGGTCCAATTTATCTCTACTATTAGAGTCTAACATAACATATGAAGCACAACCAAAAACTTTCGGATGTGAAAGATTTACCTCTTTTCTAGACCATACTTCTTCGGGTAACTTATAGTCTAAAGGACTGATGGTCCTCTGTTTATGAGATAGAGCTGCTTGTGCTTATTGCATCTGCCCAAAATACCTTGGGTAATCCTGACTGGATTCTCATACATCTTGCTCTCTCATTCAAGGTTACGTTCATTCTTTACGCCACACCGTTTTGTTCGGTGTTCCTGGAAGCTGTCTTGATCATTCGATCCCATTCTACGAACAAAACTCCTTGAATTGACTACTTGTCATATT